CCCCCCCCTTCCCCCCCCCCCCCCGGCCCCGCCCGGTCACCCTTTGTTAAATTCGCGAGAGTTAAGCTTGCTCGTCGAGGAGAGGCGTGTGGTTTGCATATTTATTCGTTCCTCAGCAACAGGAGCAGGACCCGACCAACTTGTACATCGCCAATTTGCCGCTGAACTTCAAGGAGAACGATGTGGAGGCAATGCTGGCTCAATACGGTCAGGTCATCTCTACCAGGATCTTACGCGACACTTCTGGACAGAGTAAAGGCGTTGGATTTGCAAGGTGATTGATAGTGTTAATAGATTGTTTTGGAAATGGATAAAAAAAAAATTTGTTTTCATACCGATTGAAATCGTGGAACGACGTTGATCATGAAATTATTTCTTTCAGAATGGAATCCAAGGAGAAGTGCGAACAGATAATTCAGATGTTCAATGGAAAGACGCTACAGGGGGCCAAGGATCCCTTACTAGTTAAATTTGCCGACGGTGGCAATAAGAAGAAGTCACTTTACAAAAGTACAATGTGGAGAGAAACCGGAGATGTAAGATCTGCGCTTAATGACGACGAGCCAGTCTGTGACTGATCGACTGCGGGTCACGACGTAATCGTTCCTCTCGTTTAAATAATTGTTTCAGAACATGACTCTGAACTACGACGCCAGTGGCGTCGGTCAGAATGGCGTCGCGACGGCTCACATGCTGCCAGCTGCCACCCTCGCCCAGTACAGTCGTCACTATGGTCAGGCGGTGCCTGGGTACAGCGTTCCAGGAACACCTTGGGTCACTCCGTACCTGGTGCAAACAGGTCCACCGCACATGCAACAGGTCGACGTGAGTTTACGTTACTCAGTGATCCTTTAAGTTGGCGTTTATTGCAGTTGGATCGGTTTCGATGCCGAGGTGTCTCTCGTCGGAGAATCTCATTGAGAATTATTATTTACGTACCCGTAGATGATGCCATCGGCAGATCCTAGCAATCCGCAGTACAGTATGATTCCCCAGCTTGCCACTCAAATGTCCACTCTGCATCTTGGCACCGGTTCCGTAAGTACTCTTTTTCAAGAATCACAATCAGTAACATGACAGCAGTACAGATTCGATTCCTAACCGAACCAATTAATTCATCTGTTCGCTATATTTATTATCATCATAGTCATTATCATAACGGTCATTACTAACCTAACCTCACTTTTGTCTCAGCTATTTCTATTCTCGCTCTCTCTATCTCTGTTTCAGTACATAGCAGCGAGCCCGCATCCCTACCCGTACACTACTTACCCAGCGCCTAGCATCATTCACACGATGCCATTGGGTGACTCCGAACAGACAAGTAACGCAGCATCCCCGGACGACTCCTATCAACAATACCAGGCTCAGCAGCCCAAGTAGGCCACAGTTTATAGGTTAGAGACCGAGTATAGTCTATTAGTATAGCTACTAAACGAAGAGGAGACTAGAAGATTTACCTCGACGCTTTCCTAGTGCAGGGAAGATCTGTGTGTTTTGTCTAGGGAGGCTGCGCGGGATCTCCTTTGGCGGGACGTTAATGTGAAAATTCAATGATCGTTTTGCGGGTAGAGGCGTCAGCTAGGGAGAGAGGAGAAAGAGGTGGAGGAGGAGGGAATTGCGAAAGCTCTTGCAAATAATTAAATCGTTGTGCGAAGTCTATCTCGTGAGGTCGTCAGTTTACGCGCAAGGGCTACTTTATAATCCTCCTCCGTGACACGTGTTCGCGAACGATTCCTTCGTTGCTTCAGTGCTAATTTTCCTGTTTCAGATACGACTATGCCGAGGGTTACATAAGTTAGGAGCGGTATACCTGTTGATACGAGGGATTATAATTAATGAAGAAAGAAAAGAAAAGAAAAGAAAATAGAAACGATGAGAGTAAGGAAAAGAAAAGAAAAGAAAAATACATTTACGTAAAAAAAAGTGAGACAAGATTCTTCCTCATGATAAAAAATTGACTTGCCAGCCATCTTTTGTACGTTTTATCCACCGAAGATGCGTATAAATTAGGTGCGAGAAGTAGTAGGGAATATTTTGCAACGAGTAGAAGGAGTGAATGTTGATAACTCTATAAATATATATCTTTTTTTTTTCTTTTTTTTTCCTCCCCCCTTTTTTCCCTCTTCCTTCTGTGAGAGGAGCGAGTGCTCGTGCCTACGACTCGCTGCGACATTCATTATTGACTGTGACCACGACTATACAACTGCGACACTGTAACTACGACTATCGACGACTCGGTGGGCACCAGCACCCTAAAAACGTTTAAAACGCCCGTAGAGAAAGATATAGAAATAGAGAGAGAGAGAGAGAGAGAGAGAGAGAGAGAGAGAGAGAGAGAGAGAGTGAGAGAGAGAGCGAGTAAGAGATAGGGATCGTAATGGATTGGGAGTAGGATGAAGAGAGAGAGAGAGAGAGAGAGAGAAAGATACAGAGAACGATCGATATATCAACAGTGAGAATGAGACGAGTAAAATAATGAATAACAGGGAAGACAAAAAAATATGTAAAAAAAACTACGGGGGATTTAGCGTCGAGCTGAGATAGGCTTCCAGGTTAACTTCTAGGTATTTACTAAGGTGACGATAAGTTTTTTTTTTCTTTCTTTTTCTTTTTTTAGTTTTTCTTTTCTCGAGGCCGCGGGCGCTTCGAGTGCGTGAATTCGTAGCGAGAAAGTGAGAGAGCGAGAGCGAGAATTAAAGAGAGACTGCGCGAGTGTACGAGAGAGAGAGAGAGAGAGAGAGAAAGAGTGATGAGTGCGAAAGAGGATTTGCGAGAGTGAGAGAAAGAGAGACGAAAATGAATATTTTAGACGATACTGTAAACTGTTAATCACGCTGCTCAGAACTATACAAAGAAGATTTCTTCCCAATGGATTACTAAGTAGTATTACAGTGGGGAAATGAAAGAGAGAGAGAGAGCGAGAGAAATACACTTCCAAATGCGTAGGAGTTCGTTGAAATATTAAAGGAAAAAAAAAAAATTAGATTCCACGTTTTTTTTTTTTTTGACGTAACGCTCGATGTCCTTGTATATCGTGCGGGACACGTTGTAATTAAAAAAAAAAAAAAAATGGTTTTCCACGTAAAAGTAACACTCATCTGAGACACGTATACATGGTACATACAATGTCACACTATGTACAGTATACCCGAAGAGACAATTATTGATAAAAGAAAACGTAATAGTAACACTGTATACCCGCAATCTCTAATCGCATTGTTTTTTTTTTCGTTTTTTTTTTGTTTTTACTGTATACCCGCTATCTCTGATCGAATAGTTTTTTTCGTTTTTTTGTTCACTGTATACCGGCTATCTCTAATCGCATTGTTTTTTTTTCGTTTAGACATTCCATGCTGGGTACACGAAACAATATTTGATTGTATTATTTGAAAAAAAAAAAAAAAAAAAAAAATTAAAAAACCCGCTATCTCTGATCGAATAGTTTTTTTCGTTTTTTTGTTCACTGTATACCGGCTATCTCTAATCGCATTGTTTTTTTTTCGTTTAGACATTCCATGCTGGGTACACGAAACAATATTTGATTGTATTATTTGAAAAAAAAAAAAAAAAAAAAAGATTAACCAAAAACTAATGAGGTGTGACCAAAGGGAGAAAGTATAACGAAAAAAAAAAAACAACAGAAGTATTGTAAAACGTCACATAATTTTCTCTTTTTCGATATTCACGACCAATACGTGCCGCCCTGTGTACTTGCGGCTTTTCCTTAACTCTTTATATCTTTGTTTTGCAAAAATTTCATTTTTATCCCTCAAGACAAGTGTCGTGCCACTTTCTTCGTTCTATACTCGCGTAAATGTGTATACCTTTTTTTGGGGATTTTTTTTTTCGTTCATTTAAAATGTTTTTTACCTTGCAACAATTTTTTTTCATACGTCGTTTTGCGTTTCGTTATTCCTGCAATTGTTTTTTTTTTTATGGTCCTTCGGGATGTATTAACGCGCGAACGAAGAGACGTAACCATGAAGATAACTAAGATTTAATCCGACGGGCAGCACGTGGGAAGCGAGAAAAATTCTGTTCGCAAAGTCGACCACGAGAGAACTCACGATCGGTGAGACGGGCTGACGAAGAGGAGAGGACGCTGAGGGAAGAGGAGACGGTCGAGCGAATCGAGAAACGGAGAGAGTAACGTGAAACGAGAGGAAAAAAAGTTAACGCGTACGGAGAACGTATAGTAATTTTTTAGAGCGTTGTATTTATGAGTAACGATTTAATGACTAAAACGAAGGCGATTGTATCCGTTTTTAATTGTACAGTGAAGTGAACAGAATATTTTTTTTAGAATCGTGCCTTTTCAGAGGAGTCCGCTCGATCACGGGATGACGCTGAAAAACTATTATAATATATTTTTAATCGTCGGTATCGTATTTAAAATGACGAAGTTTAAGAGGCGAAAAGGGAAAAAAAAATGAAAATACGCGAAATAAGCGAATAAAAGTACTGATAACGGAAGATTAAGAAGGAGGAGGAAGAGGAGCAGTGGGACGGAGAAGGAAAATTTTAAGAACGCGGAACGAACTCCCTCCCTCCAGCCAAATCTTTCGATCTTTCTAGTTAAGGGTTCAATTATTCGATATTTCCTGCCGGTCTTTTGCCGCGGTTAACGAGACGAAGAGCCAATTTTCTCACGAGAGAGATTTAGGGAAAAAGATAATAATAATGTAACGCAAAACGTCACGCCCACTTACGTTTGTCGATTTCCATGCGAAAATAATAATTAAAAGAAAAATTAATAACGGTAATGAACTTTTTCGACTAATAGACTTTTACTGTTGTACAGAGACACGTGTGCGTGAGAAGGAGAGAATCTGCATGAGAGATTAAAAAAAAAAAAAGAATCACGTTGCCACTAAGTAACTGAATTTTCTTTGGCATTTTTTTGCCAAAAAAAATATTACACGAACCGGTCTGCATTAGAATTTTGACGATGTAACACATTTGTGTAGAGTGAACGCGCGTGAGAGAGGAACGTGTGAACGAGGGTAAGAGTGCGACAGAGAGAAAGCTAGAGCGTGAGAGGAAGAGAGAGAGAGAGAGAGAGAGAGAGAGATAGTATTAAAGGGAGATGCCAAGTATGAATATGATACATTGGAGACTTTGAAGAAGAAAAAAGCAGGTAGTTACGGACACGTGTACGCGGACCCGAAACTACGATAAATAGTTAGTGCGTTAATTAATTTATTGTGCCGAAAGAAAGGAAAAAAAAAGAAAGAGAAAAAACACCGTAATCAATACCGTTTATGCCACGGGACGATAACGTGCGACGCAATGATAATGAGAATTGATTGACATTGGCGTAGGAAGACTGCGACAAAGTCCATTGGAGAGAATGATACGTGACGTGGGGAATGCCATGAAGAATAATAATAATAATAAAATTAAAAAATTAAATTACCAGTGGACGCGTGAACGCCTGCGGGCAGGTTGGCGGGGATGATATTTGGCGAACTTGGAAAAATATTCCTGACTGTCGACGACATCGTCCGAGATGCTGAATATGATTTGACGAAAGGGACAGGGCTGTACTGAACGAGAGGAGACATAGGTTCACTCTGCCCCACGTGGTTCATCCTTCGTGTAGTACCTACTTGGAACTGACCATCTGGCGTCATGAGAGAAAAGCGCTGAATCTGAAATTTGAAGAGCTACTAAAAAAAAAAAAGACAATTTTGAAAGTGAACTCGCGATTTTATTGGGACTAGATGCTGGACTATCCTAGAGCGGAGAAAGTCGTGTCGGCCGGATCATAGGAACGGAAGGAGTGAGAGAGAGAGGGATATAGGGAAAAAAGCTTTCTACCAAATATGCTGGCAAGAGACAAGAGATAGTTAGGTAGAGCGTAGAGGCGATTCGTAGCTATTATTAATATAATAATATTACAATGATAATACCACGCTGTATTATTATGATTAATGATAAAGAGAAGGAAAAGAAAGAAGGGTGGGGGACAAAAAAAAAAGAAAGATCTGAAAACGATTTAACTATTATTGACAAGACGTCGTCTAAGGTGCGCGGGAAGGAGATAAAAAAAAGATTTTTACACTGTTGAAACTTGAAGTAAATAATATATTTAGTTTATTTTGGTACATCACAATTTGATGAACAAGATGACGATAGAGAGGGAGAGAGACGGTACGATGATGAGTTACGATGGCAACTGGATTGGTGGAGGAGGTTAACACGTGTTTGGAGCGAGATCGTGAGATATGGAAGACGGTTTCGCGTATTTCGGGATACGAGCTATTTTTTAAGAGGCTGATTTATATCAGGGAGACATTAAAGCGGAGAACGAATTGATTGGAGAGGGGAATGTAAAATCTTGAGATTTAAGGGGCTGAAGAAGGAAAATTTGAAAATAACGGATATATGGGAGTTGAAGAATTTTTGATCCCCCTCTATATATACGCGATTGATCGAAGTAGCAAATGAGTATGACGATTATTATCGTCTCAACGACTGATGACGGTTCGAGCCGTAGTGACGACAAGGACGGAATGAGTGAAACGGTGTGAAAAGAGAAGAAGAGAATCCACGTGTGATTAAAAATAGTGAATTTCGAGAATTTTACTGATAGGACTTGTACTAAGTAACTAATATTATTGTGACGACCAAAAAAGGAGAAGGAAAAACTAAATGAAAAAAAAAAAAGGAAAAAAAATACAATGATCACGAAAGCGGCACCGGGCCAGGGATGTGCAAAAGAAAAAAAAAAGAAGAGATTTAAGAAGAAGAAAAAAATTAACAATTAAACGAAAAAAAAATAGTACCCGCGTTAATAGGGGCAACCGTCGGAATCCGTGGATACCGGGTGGTGCATACTTTTTCTATAATTCAAATTTTTTTATATATATTTTTTTATTTTCTTTTTCCCCCTCTAAATATTCACTTCCTCGTCCCCTCGATGTTACGTGCGCGATGCATCTCCTGAGCGTCGCGACGCTCGCACGTTCTCTCGTGCCAGTGCGTCTCGTGTGTACGACCGTCAGGATTCCGAGAGAATAAGAGTGCAAGAGAGTGAGAGTGATGGTGAGCATGAGAGTATGAGAGAGATGCAAAACGAAGGAAGGAAAAAATCCTGAGTAAATCGCCGGAGCCGCGATGGCCCTCCCCCCCCCATCCCCATAGCGTCATCTTAAAGACGTTGAGAAAAAAGGGATTATTATGTACGGTCGGTAATTCAGGGAGCAGGGAGGTGGGGCGTCGATAAGGTTATTATTATTGGAAGAAAAAAAAAAGGGTAAACAAAGAATGAAAAATGACCGACTGAGAATCTTTTGACTGTGAATCCAGACGATGACCCCCTGGACCGATCTGACCCCTGGACGTTAATACATGGACGAGGACGATACACGTACATATACACAGTATTCACCAAAAAATCAACATCACGTCACGTACACAGACAACTAACACAATCTCACGGTGATTAGCACTGGTAGGATTTAATTGAAAAAAATTGATAAAAAATAAAAAAAGTGGGGTGTTTTGTGTAGCTAGGCGTTCACTATGAGTTATAGGGTTATTAGGGCGGTTGGATGTGGCTGCAAAGTGGGAGAGAAGAAAGAAGAAAAAAAAAGAACAGGAAACACTTTCTCTAGAACTTTCGTCGAGATAAGAATAACACTTAGATAGGGTAGTGAGTTTGTAATTAGGATGTACCGTTTTAATGGTAGGAGAATGCCTCGCCGTTAGCCCTGCTACAAGTGGAGGACATAGGAGTACACTAGGTAACAAAGGAAAAGGGAAAAAAAAAATTGATAAAAGACGCTAAAGGACTGATCTACGAGACGAAGTGAGCGAGCAGAGAACGACTGGAAATGTAACAGTTGATAATTCAAATTACGACACGGGTGACGATCGTGATACGAAAAGATTGTAACAATGGCTGACACGAGTTAACGTAATTATTTTATCGGCGTTGCAATTTGTATTTTTCTTTGCTCTGTCGGTAATGGCGCGAGCCTCTTGGTGGGATTGTTAATTAATTTAGTCGGATAAAATGATTGTTTATTATTAATTGAAAAAAAATATGGATCAAGGACGAGACAGCTGTCGTGTGGTACGCGTGACCACGGTGGGGCACCGTTCAGCCTATGCACCTCGCACCCGTCAAGACTGACTGGCTATTCATATTAAATATATTATTAGTCTACGACGTATATTGTCTACTGTAATATAATTCGTGAAGAAAAATGAAATTCTTAGTAAGGGACTTTGCTTGCTGCGCACCGCGGGCCTGGTGCTTGGGCTGGCCGGGTTATATTAAGGACAAGGACAGATTTAAGCGGTAACGCAAACAGAAAGAGAGAGAGAAAAGGTTGCGTGAGAAGGGAGAAGAGCGAGGCGAATTTATTAAAGTCGTGAGAGATAGAAAGAGAGAGAGAAAAGGGTATTATCTGGGTACTGGGATACCTGGCGACCCTTTTTTTTTCTATTTTTCTTTTCACTTTACTCTTAGAAGTCTCATCACAATTCACGAACCGAATGGCGATGATAAAACGACGATGATGCTTTCTTGTAAGCTTTTTAGGAATTCTAGCGTCTCCGTAGCAATTAGTATCCACGTAGCTTTTAGGGTTAATTGTAGCGACACAAAAAAAATCGTATCTTATAGGGTGTTTTTAATTAAGTAATGTAAGGAGTATTGCGACCTAAGGATTAGTTTTTAAAAGTTTTTTCCAAAGTGTACGATCCTTCCCGTCGGCACTTTTGTACAGTTCCTCCTCGTCCCCATCTTCCTGCACCTACCACTACTATTGCTACTACTACTACTATTACTATCACTATTACTATTACACTACTATTACTATCGCTAGCACTAGTAAAAAAAAAAAAACAATTACTATTACTATTGCTGCTGTTGATGACGATGCAGCTGCTGCTACCGCTGTTGCTGTTGCTGCTGCTGTTGCTCCTCGGTTGACAAGGTTTTCTTTTATTTGTTTCTTTCTCTTTTTTTTCACCTAACCTCAACCCAACCGTCTTTAAATACTTGTTACGGAGCATCGCTCTACTTTTTTCTGTCCTTTGTCTTTTCGTTGTCGTTTTTTTTTCTAGTTATTAATTTTTATAGGTGAATAATTAGTCAATTAAGATTTCTTTTTTTTTTTGTTACTTTTCTCTTCACACCCACTTCCCCACACTGTCTTCTACTTACACTTGCACTTCGACCTGTTGTTCTTATGGCTGTTGTGTCAGCTTGTTTTTTTTTTCTTTTCTGTTGGTTTAAACTCACGTAGTGTCGTCCCCCACCCTTCTCTCTGATTTTCTTCTCCGTGAGTTTCTTTTTTTTTTTCGATACTTTCTTTCGAGGTTTTTTCTGGGTTCCCTCTTCCTCACACGTCAATGCTGTCGTGGCACGAGATCGCGATCTTTCGTGTTGGTCTTTGCTTTTATATTTATTCTCTTTTCTTTTTGTATTTTTTTTTCCCCCTTTAATTTTACCAATTATCCGTTGACGTTTAAGCTATGATTATTGTCTGACGCCTTTTACTTTTTGTCGTTTACTTTGTAATTGTCTTTCCTCTACGGTTTGTCTTCTCCGCTGAGAGATTTGCGTGTCGTGTGGTGTTGTGACCAATGAGGAATGAGAGGAGAAGGAAGACGAGGGGAAAAAAAAAATTATAAAAAAAGTAGAGAGAAAGCCCGAAAGAAAAAAAAATTGAACTCACTGTTCTAGAGTAGAGAGAAAACGAGACGAGGCACGATGCGCGCGGACCTTAGGATGTAATACAATACGAGAGATCGTTTTTAATAGGATTTCCCTAGGTGTAAGGTTTAAGGAAATAACAAAGAAATGAAAAAAAAAAGAGAAAAATTCTGGCGAGGCGTAGCGCGTAGACACGAGACAAGATATGATGACGACGAGGAAGAAAAGGAGGAGGCAGAAGAGGAAACAACAAAAAAATCTTATTATTAAAAATACAACCCATAGAGATCTAAGGCAAGTGTGTCATAGCTAGCTAAGAATTAGGGACTCTTAGAAGTCGATAGGTGCTGTAATAAAACAAAGTTTAACAACGGTCAGAATTAGATTTTTCATGAAAAAAAACTCGTGTAAGGACAGGGCATAAGCCACTAAAAGTGCCCTTAGTTTATTTTGGATCGTTCGAGGGGTGAGAAAAAAAAATGAAGAAATACGAAAAAAAAAAGTAACGCTGATGAAGATGAAATAACGCTAGTCTTTGTGTGGGATAAGCCAGGTATGCGTGAGGGGAGTGGGTGGTTAGTGGTTAATAAAAAAGGGTTAAAAAACGAAGACTTAGAGTCTTTGAATGACGAGAGGGAGGTAAACTAAGAACAATTAAGTGGCGAAGTTCAAGTAAGAGGAAATTAATTAGAAAAGCGCGAAGCACAAAGGAGAAGGGAAAAAATGCGTCGGCAAACGAAATGAGCGACTGAGGGGGTAGATTCAGAGTAACAAGGAGGGAGGGAGAGAGAGAGAGACATGGAAAGATGGAGACACTGCGAAGATGTCACGTGCATGTATAAGAGTGAGAGAGTGAACGAAAGTTTGAGAGAAAGATTGAACGTGAGAAAGAGAAAAATATACATAGGTGAAATCGAGATAGGCGAACGTAAAAGGGAGATGCGTGTATGAAACTATTAGAAAGAGAGAGAGAGTGTGATAAAAGCGAGATACGTTAATCAGAAGGAAGCAGAGAGAGAGAGAGAGAGAGAGAGAGAGAGAGAGATTAATATGAACCATGAAAAAAAATACCATCTGCCTATTTACAGAGACCGCATTGTGTTTACTGTATGATGTGCATTGGAACAAATGTGTCCTAGCGTTATACTTGCGCATAGTTTCGTACGTTTTTTCAAGGTGAAAGAACAAGGGGGTATAAAGAAACAAAAAGTGAAAAAGAAAATATCGAACGATTAATCGAAAGAAATGATATTTTCCTCGTCCCTTTACTTTTTTTTTCTTCCCTTTGCTTCTTTCTTTCTTTCAACGTCAGCTAGAGGATAACGATGCGTTAGTCTCCTTTGATGGGATTTCCCTACTTTAATGTGGGCTCGTATGAGGGTCATGAATTATGGAACTGAGATAAATAAGACACGTATGAAATCCTGTTGTTCCTTTTGTTAGTTGTACGACTCGCAGGTACAGCTCCAATTGTTCGCTTCCTCGATCGAAGTTTGACTCTCCTGAGAATTACTGTCTCCGAATCTCTATTGTCGGATTAGTTAATCGAATATACCCGCGATTTACTCGAATGTCACTCTGGACTCCACGTTCGTTCGTTTCTTCGTTTGCGGTTTCGCTGTCTAGAAATTACTGTACGATTCTGTATGTGCTGTTAAGACGAGACGAGAAGATGAAATACCTAAATCAATAAAGCAGAATGAACTTTCTCAACGATTCGTACGAAAACATTTTATATGATTTATGTCCAACTTTGTGTATTGTTAGGTGGGCGATAAGGTTATTTTTATGTCTTATTACACCTACATCCTTCAGGATGGATTCAAGGGGAAGAATGTATTGTGGTAAGAAACAGGTACATCCTTTAATTATTAAGATTAATGTATTGTACAAGGTATACGATTTACAGGGGTTTAACACATTGCGTACTTGGATTTGAATATCCTTACTGTGTTGTCAGCACCGCCTGATACCATCAATTTGGGATTTGACCAGTTGCAGCTGAGGACTTTGTCTTCGTGTCCAGAGAGGTCGTAGAGAGGTACCTTCGGACTTGGAGAATGAATAAGATTATTTTTTATAGCATGAGGGAACTTGAAGCTCTTGGATTATTGCGGTCTTACCTCCGAGTATCCCATAATTTGACCTGATTATCATAAGCACCAGACAGGAATAAGTAATCTTGTGTTGTTGACCAGCTTACGCACTGCACCCATTGTGTGTGCGAGGTAAAGGTTGCTTTTACTACTGCACCTTCTATATGAAAACGTCATGATTATCATAAGGATATTTATTTAGTTATGGTAAATTTTTCTATTTTTTCTTACCTGTTGATCGAGGATCATAAAGTCTTATGTGTTTGTCTGCTGATGCTGTTATCAAAGTGCCTGACAATGGAGAATAATCCACATCGAAGAAACTTTTATTACCTGGAATTTCTTGTTTTATTCCACCTAGTTCGGAATCCCAAAGTTTTAGGGTATGATCCCAGGACGATGTGATAATCTCTGATTTGTCAGACCACTTTACACTACTTATTGCTTCTTTGTGTCCTTTTAATGTTACTTTTGGTGTCTGCAAAATGCATGTTTTTTTAGCAATTAATTTACTAAATAGCATTTATTCATGAGAAGGATAGTTACTCTGGTTTTGCCATGTTCTGTCTTTGTCCTCTTTGAACTTGATTCTCCGTCATCGTCATCCTGTGTTGCTGTGAAAAAAATAGTCATTGTACGTACAGTCTGAATTTAAAATAAATCTTATATTATTGTCTAAAAGTACTTACACGCTGACCATATTTTTAACATTGTGTCCCATGACCCTGTGGCCATTAAACTCGAATCATAATTGACACCTACAGATTCCAAGCTCCGCTCATGTCCTTTACAAACGTGAACACAATCTACAGAGTTCCCTGATATATTCCAGTCCCATATTATAGCCGTTTGGTCTTGGGAGGCACTATAATTCAGGTAAATTTATAAATTCTTTATAGTTGAATAGATCTTTGATGAATCTGTACCTAACAAAAGTTCCAGTTTCTTCACCAAGCGAAATCCATGCTACAGCTTTTATGGGGGATGTGTGCCCTGGTATTGTGAGTCTGTGCTTTCCCTTTGTAGTCCAAATATGTAAGGTGTTATCATAGCACCCAGTCAATATCCTATAAAGGAGTTAATAGCTCATTGGAATGCGATGTGGAAATGTCAGTACAATATAGACACCAACCATTTCTCACACACTGCCACAGCAGACACCCAATCATCATGAATTAGACAATCCTGTGGTTCTGGCTCTGGATGTTTTTCAAGGTATTCTACATCTATTACTTGCTCCGTTGAGACTCCACGTTCCTCAAGATGCTCAGCCAAAGAAGAACGTAAAAATTCGGAGCACACCAGAAAGTCAAATTCAATGAACTTTGCAGCATCGATAGATTCTTCAAATTAAAACAAAGCGAAGATTAATATTCTTTCTTTTTAAAAGTAGGACGAAATCAAATACCTTTCAAAAGTTCGTTTACAAGAGTATTCAATTCAACAGCGATCACTGGTGCAGGAACGGATAATGGAAAATCTGGTACTGCAAACCTAAAAAAAATGTATCAATCAAAAAGTGCAAAGCCATCAACTTTAAACGGATTCAAAATCATCTATAATAACAAAATTCACCAATATCCATTATTCGCAGAAACTAATACTCCATCAAATATCAAACTATCATACAAACATCTATAACCTAATCACTCCATTATTATAATCAACACAACTTACTGCTGTTGTTTCGTTATGAAACGTATCTGCACCTGTGGTACATCACTATCAGTACTTTTACCAGCCATAATATTTTATGTAACAATACAAATTATATTTAAACAAATTAAAAAATGCAGCTATACGTAACAGCAGTGACAAACTCCACGTGCGCCTCTTGGCGCTTTCCGCAGTTCACAGTAGCCAGCAAGCAGCATCTACATGAATAACCGATATGTTGCCTTAGTTTAGTTCTTATTTACAATTAAAGAAGAATCAAGTTGTTCGATAATGACATAATGAGAAAGAACAGGATCAATGTTCTGAAGATAATAAACAAATTCAAATTAATAAAGTTTATCCCAGTATAAATGCCTCTAATTCAAATGTTCAACAAAGAACATGAAAATCTTGCTATACATAATCCATTGTCACGGAAGCACCAATAAACAAAATACAATCAAAGAGCTGCGATATTACAGTGCATTAAAAAGAAAAGAAATTAATACGCAAATCTCTGATTTGGGCTTTTGATATCGCCTTAAACCGTAGAGTTGGTCATCTCCCTACTCATCTCTGCGCAAATTTCTGGGTGTAGTGACATCTCACGATGAATACCAGACATTAAGGATGAATGCATATTCGGTACATTGAAAATTTAGACCCGTAAAAATCGGGTTTTGATATTAGGAACTTATGCGAGCTAAGGAGGTAGCAGAAATTCATTTAAGTGGCACCAACGGAAAGTTCCCGCCAAAAATCGGCTCTGACGGAATGTCCTGTCAAAATTTTGAAAAATCGAGAGGAACGTCTCCGAAGGGCAATTACAGGGTTGCCTTAAAGCGGGACTAAGGATGGGCTTTCAGATGTGACCACAACTCCTTTACTAGTTTTCATTAGACAATTTTATAAAAATTTAACTATTCATTAAAAAAGATTGGTTAAAGAGTTTTTTTCGGTCTTATTAATTACATAATGATTTATTTAGTTGCAATAGACATTACTATACCTGAAAATAACTATAGTACGTTTCAGTCTTCATCGAATATAACAATTAAGTATAATATGGAGAAGTAACAATAATTGAACTAATGTCGTATATATCTTTTATATCAATAATACAATAATATTAGTTGCAAGAGAGTTTGTACTGTAGCAAAGTCTTATCAAGTAAATAAGAAGGAATAAACTGTGTTAATATCAATTTTATGCGTATCCTTGCAGATGCTATATCCGTACTAAGAAAGACATGCAGGAGTATCTCTAAAAGAAGAGAGAATGAAGGTCGAAAGTGAATGCTCATGAAGAATGTAAAATATGTGCAATCAGGAGAGCGGCAAAGAGGTAAAAAATAAAGGAGCATGAAGAGGAGGATGGAAGGTTGAAGTGACGGATCGATAGAAAACATGGCGGCAGAGGAGCGATTTGTGGCAACCCGATTATGTCCGGCAATTTGCCTTATATAACGACGGTAATGTACATTTCCCAGGGATTGGAATATACGGGAGTCCGCGAGGAAGTATTGGCATGGTGAATGCGAGTTCTGATCGTTGTCATCGTGGTAGCTTCCTAGGACTTACTCCAAAGTGAAATCCAAGAACTCCTGGAGGAAGAGGAGAGATAAATTTAAAGAGTGAACGAGCAGGAGGGACGGCGACTGGATTGAGAAAGCTGAAGAAGATCTACGTTGAGAAGTGTCAGAAGGAAGTAATTAAACCGGAGGAAGCACTCTAAGTGACTGACAGTTCTGCTATAGGCCGCCTCAACACGTAAACAATCACCATGGCAAAGTACGGATTGCGTAATAGTATTCTTATCTAATTATAAGTCGACGCTCGGTGCTGAAGAAATTAGTGTGCTCCTCAGTGATAACGAATTGTTTACTATCACGTCCCGGCGCGACGCATTTTGCTGAATGATCTTCCCCGTCCACGTCCTGCTCCTCTTCTTTTTAATCTTTCTACTAAACCTTGTCGACGTGACACGCTCACGTTATCTTTACTATTCCTTTGCTGGCAAGCTCTTTGTGCAAAAGCCAGCTTTCTCCATATGTCTCTATTCAATTCTGTTTTCTTTGCTAAAGACAATGCTGATTTTAAACTCGTGTGAGTTTCCCAGCGCTGCTGGATTACAGGCTATTCTTGGTTGCGTTGTGTTTGTTCATTTGTTTATGAATTACTTGATTTCAACCTCTTGACTGTTCTATGGAAACTTCAATTACATGTGGTTTGTTAGACTACATTCAAATCTGTGTGCTTATTTCAATGGGGATATAGTGATAATCAAACTTGCTGATTTTTTTTTATTTGACACTATGAGACATTTTTCTTATGTTTTTCTCATACATCGTATCATGCATTACTACAAATAGATTCTTACATAGGCTCTAGTTCTGTACAGTTTCACGTAGTAATTAATTTCAATTAGCTCAAGCACATGCATGGTATCGTTTAGCTAATTAATACAACTATTATAATGAACTATATTTTCTCTTTACTAACATCTTTCTTGGTTTATAAAATTTTATTTTTCATTTCAGTTCATTCGCACAAGATGACAAATCTCATTCTGACCTATTCTCCCTGTTATCTCTAAGACGTACTATTACATAAATATTACTGAATAAAAAAGTAAAAATGCAAGACTGGGTGCAGCTTGCACTCGTCGACCTTTGCATACGCTTTGCTATTTACCGTATAATAATTTCATATAACACGTAGTGATGTAACGTAAGTCGACGTACGCACTCAGAAATACAATCTTATCTGAAACGTTTGGATATATCGATAGTTGGTCACAAATGACCGATAGGTTTCAGTGAATCATTCGTATTGTTTCGATAACGAAGTGAAACAACTCATTTTCATATGTGCTACCCGAGAAAGCTAGCAAGTAATACCTTTTAAACTTGGTAGCTGACCTAATCAGGTCAAAGCGCTATCGATAATTAAACTAGAAAATGTGAAAAAAAAATTACTGTTTCAGAGAGATGATGATAGTATTTGTCTATGACACTGTGAGATGTTCCAAGGAAGAGGATGATCCAGCAGAGGCTGTAGTTTATTTTCATCCAGCATGGGTTTCGCCGACCCAGCGTCTCGCCTTAGCAGGTCAATTAATGGGAGTTAATCAATTCCTTGCAAGTTCCTTCTCAGCACCACGTTTGATATCTCTACAAGGTGGTAAATTTGTCTTAAAGAGATTCGGACACTACATGCTTGTAAGTGCGTCTATTAATTTTCGCTAACTATTCTTAAAATTTATATTTAACTAATGAGTATGATCTTTTTTAGGCTGTTGGTACAGATAGAAATATCCAGGATTGGGTTTTGGAAAGGAGATCTGACACTTTGGAATCTATACTCAAGTTTTTTCACTGTGATCTGGAAACAATTTCCTCATCCTTCGCTAGTGATCGAAATAAGCTCACGGAGAAACTTTATCAGATGTTTGAGACGTATTTACCGATATTACAATATGGTGCCAATATGTTTTCCAATATACCCAATATAAAACTTCCAAAGGTAATGGATTCTATGGATATTCCATAGACAAATCTTTTCTTCAATATCTCATGACCTTCTGTTACAGAGTGCAAGTAATGTTTTTTTGGAAGCTATTCAAGTACTTCAGTATTGCCAAGAGACAAGTGGTATTATGGCTGGAGCTCTCTTTTATAATAATAAGTAAGTTTAAATAAAACTGATGTTAATTGAATTATCAATTGTTCCATACATTATCCTATACTACACTTATGTTATTTCTAAAATTTTAGAGTGGTAGCTACTCAATTGAGTGCAGAACTGACAAAGCAGCTAGTAATAACTGATCCGTATCGAATAAAGGTAATTAAAATTCTTTAAAATTGAATCCAAAATGTTTATAAAATTTAATTAAACAAAAACAGGCTCCTGCTGAAAGAATATCAACAGACTTTCATTTGCCTGTGGGTGTTCAGCTACTACGTGTATACGTAGAACATAAACAGATAGAAAAATTATCCCAGGATGCAAACATCGAAAGAGTACACAGCTCGTACTTGGACTCAACAGTGAAAAAGGTTCCGTTCAAAAAGGTAGAAAAAGAAAAGTCTAATATGACTTAATAATAGAATTACTCATAGACACGTAATCTTGTAGGCCCTCCAAAAAACTGGTACAAAAGATTTACCGATATCCAGTATGAAGCGAGACACCTCGCGAATATTTACAGTACCGGAAGAAGGCGAGTTAGATTCAATCCCATACGGCAATGTAACGCAATGCGTAAAGCCGCCATCTACAGTAACGTATTCACCAGCAAAACGCAAGCAGGAGTCACGAGTAGAACGTACCAAATATTCAAATCCCTTAACACCAAGTGTCTGTTCGACGCCATTGAAAGACGTGAATCGTATCCTGCATGGTACAGCAGTATCGATATGTAGTGCAGCTGAAGAACTGGAGGACAAACTGGAAGCAGATAAGAAACCAGAGAATAGACCGGAAATGAAGGAGAACACGGACGACATTCCGGATGTCGTGAAGGAAGCTCTCAGATGTAAACGCCTAAACAAATTAAGAAATGCAAACACTAAGGAGAATCTTCTCAAGTGTAAAGAGACAAATAGAAAGAGCTTGAGTACATCCGACCTCGAGGAGTCAATCCGGAAATACTCGAACAAAGTATCACTTAGATATTACAGTCTAGGTCTTCCTCGACTCAACGATAAACTGTGTACTGATTACGGTGCTGATTCACCCAGGTTTAAGTCATCCAAACAATTCTATAATACCATAACCGATCCGTATTATCCGGTTTTTCGTTACGACGGCTTGCCTGTATCTCGCTCACTTTATGACCAATATATAGCAACTCACCTTCAAGAGCTAAATGCGGACACAATCAAAGTAAACAATTGTAAAGAACTAGCTTTAGACTTCCCAATGGCTACAGAGTCAAAGAGTATGGATAAAAGTCAGGAGGAAAGTAATGGGGATGATTCGGAGAAAATAAATTCCACGCTGGACGTGAGATTAGAGAAAAAGAACAAGCAGGAGATATACAGGAGATCCATGAGTTTACCTTTAAAACCATTAAACAGTACAGAGGATGACGAGCGACGAAAATCAACGTCAGAGTGCGGAAGTATATTCGATCTGCCTCAGAAACGTAAATTAGACGGTTTACAATTGACGCCATTAATGTCAAAATTGAGTCTACTCGCGGATGAGAGAACTAGTGGTTTTTGCAGTAGAGAAACGACACCTAGTGAATTTCGTGACCTGTCATTCTCAACAGCCACCAATCAATTACTGAAGAGTAAATTAGAAGCTGCCAGCAAGGAGAGCGGTAGCGACGAAGTAGACGAACTCGAGGAAGATTGGATAATTAAGGACGACAGTCAGTTGGAGAAAACTGAATTATTTTTGTGTGGACATCAAAATATGGTTCTGGTATTATTAATGGAGGATGGTACAGGCAATAATCCTGAACTAATACATTCCCTTGTAAGTAACGTTTATATCTGAATTATTATTCAATCAATTTCTAATTGTATTAATTTCTAAACAATTAACGTCACTTGCATGTGTACCATCACCAGTGGGAAACCTGCGTGAGCACATTGGGGAGACTGGAAACTCGTCTTCAGCAATGTCTGGAGCCACTTCCCTCCAACGAGAACAAGGAACTCTACAGTGTCCTAAGTGTAGATCCTGAATGGGATACCGTGCATCGTTCTGGACTCTGGGGCGTGACGGAACTAGAAATTGTATCCTCGTTACACGACCGATTTACCAAAGCGAGTAATCTCACGGACATTATTATCAGGTAAGTTGCACGAATTGGTAAACAAGCTTGTTTACGCGCTCGTAGTGCTTGTAGACAACTTTTATTAAGCAGTCTTTTATTTCTCTTGAACCATCAAGACCAATTGATGATTTAGTCGATTAGACGATTAGTCATTGATATTAATTTATTAGCGTGAGATTTAATTATAAATGGCGCATGTTTTGCTATAGAACAGAGGATACGGTTGTTTACGGTAACCAGTGCGGCAAGACTGAAGTATTTTACCAGCAAGCAATGGCTCCAAACACTTCTGGTGGGCTACCGACTCCTGCGGACTTGATGGGCGTCGTGCCCTTAAAAGCCAAACGTAGACTGGAAAGAGACCACGGAATTGTGTTGTTATAAATTCGCGAATTTAAAGACCCGGTTGAATTCGCATCACGTATTCAAAAATAAGGAAAACGGCCGGGCGATTATCTTGCCATGAAAAAAAGAAGACAAACAGAAACTATGCAATCCTTTAGTTATTAAGTAACTAGTACCTTGCCGACTTGTCATTCGTCTTTCCTAACGCGATCACTTTGACCTTTGATCAATTGACGTTGTTAATGAATTTCTTAAATCTATTGTTTTACTCTATTTACACTGTTGCGTGTAAACGACCTGCCATTTAACATTCCCTTAAGCAAGTGGTATCTTAATTATTGTTATTGTATACGTTATTTCTCTTTTATCCCTATTAGCATTACTGTTTAGAAACTGCTATAGCGTTTATACTTAAATGACCATTCTGTACATAATCTAAATATACAAGAAATTCCAGACGATGCTGGATTGTCGAGGAATCTAATACAGTGAGAAAAGATAGATTTTTTGGAATGCTCCATTTAAAGAAATTGATATGCCACGTTTAATCTATTATCTCAATATACGAATGGTAGTCGATATAGATATAGCATGGAATTGTAATTTTTATTAGAGAATCGATACCGAATTTTTAACATTTCAACGATGAACGACTTTCATATCAATACTGGAACCATACACATAGTTTTTCAAAGACCCGTGACTTTTATTACTATATTCTAATGAAATCGCTACAGTTCGCTATAGACTTAGAAAGCCAATAGACTTAATTTAAGTTGCAAGAGAATAAGAGCCTCCTGTATTATTTTAATCGTTAAAGGATGCGAAATAGTATTTTTTATTACATAAAGAACATCGTTCAGCTTACGGTAGACAGAAAGAGAATGAGCAAATGAGTGAAAGAGAGAAAAAAGAAAGTGGAAGTATGCTTGAGAAAAAGAGAGAGTATGATATTATCATACGGCTAGTATTAGTATTTAATGAGAATATTATTAATTGCGCGAGAATGTTATTAATTGTACAACATGCGAAAGAAAATTCTGTGTACAAATGCTGGTATCGTTAATAATGCTGTGCGTTGATTAATGACGTTTATTGCGTCTCAATTCGTAGAATTTCGATAGCGATTAATTAAATGTAACGAATTTTCATGTAATCGATAGATCCTTGTTTTACAGTATTTCAAAACTTCATACGTTCCATGTGTTTCTCTCTTCGTCAGAGAAACTTTACGATACTTGCAACGGACTCCATTGTGGACGACGATGCGACTTAATAAAGTGAAACAGCTGAACAATTTTTTAATGTGTGTTTTTCATTATTGTCATTTCTTACCATAATAATTAACTTCCTATTAATTGAATCCCATTAGGTGTTAACAATCTCTTGGTAATCAATTAGTCTTTCTTGCCAACGAACGTGATATGTGGATTCCTGCGTCACGAAAAAGCCGAGCCTTCCAAGACCGGTTAGTTAACATATTTATCACATCGATGTTTGTATCAACAGGTTATCCTGTTTATTGGCAAACCAATCGTCATAGATACCTTTTGATATTATAAAATTCCAGATTCACGGCCATTCCTCGTTTCGACAATTTGAAAGTGCCAGTTAAGGTGTACGTCGTGCGTCAAAAAGCATCTTTTTTAGCAAAGAAACATCTTTGAATAGATTTGTAACGAATTTCGACAATATGAAAATTAAATAAATGTTTTATAACATTTTACACTTTTAGCATACATACCCAGTTTTCACTGTAAAAAGAATTTGGAGATCTGAATATCTGCTCGTCCTTTGGGCATTCAAAAGAGGCACCACATCTTTAGGATTTCGACAGAATTCCTTCGATAAAGAATACGAATAAATAAGTGGGTTTTTTTATTTTTTTTCATCTGTTATAGAAAGTTCCATCAGAAGGAAACATGGTCGAGCCTTCAGGTGTCGGGCACGCAGTTATCATACGACCGCATCATGCCTTCTTCATGGCAACAGGTCGTGTGCTTCTCCTTCTACAATAATTCTGTAATTTATGAGGCAATTCCATACAGGTTGACGTAAACAAGCCTCCATGGTGGACCAATGGGAATCTCAGGATAACTCCCTCCTACGTTTCATGAGTTTGATATTTAAAGAAGGTTCGACCAGGATTAACAATAAATGTTTATTCGCCATAGGAAAGAGATTTTTCTGCGAGACTTCACAATCCAAAATGGTAAGTTTCTTCAATGGATTAAGTGCAAAACAACGAAATTAACGTTTCTTTTTATTCCCTTTGACAGACTACGTACACAGATAAAGGACCAAAGGTAAGAATAAGAATTTTGAAAAAACATTAACGTTTGAAAACAATGAACTTAAAATTATTAATTCTGCATTTTATTCATAGCCGGAAGGAGGGAAGTTCTTAAGCTTTGATCACTTGAGGTTTTGGGTTGGCAATGCAAAACAAGTGAGTGTCATAAAATATAAGTGATATGCCTTATTAATGAATAATTACTTTATTGTAACATAATTCTTTAGGCTGCCAGCTATTACTGCGCCAGGATGGGTTTTGAACCTCTGGGCTATCGCGGTTTGGAAACTGGCTCCAGACGGTTCGCGACATATGCAGTTAAACAGAACAAGGTAAGTTATACGGATAAGTAAAAATTAACTATTATTATTAATAAAATCTATTTTTATTCTAGATTGTATTTGTATTTGAATCTGCCTATGAACCTAACGACGAGGAATTTTCAAGTCATTTGTCGCTACACGGTGATGGAGCCCGGGACGTAGCCTTTGCCGTCGAAGATATCGAAATTGTATTCAAGGTAAATTCAGCTTAGCCAAGTGTTTGGTATTAATCACAAGTTTTTATTCATGTAACCGAACACATTGTTTAGGTGGCGAAAGAGCGCGGGGCCAAAGTAATACGAGAACTGTGGGAGGAAACGGACGAATATGGAACAGTGCGTTTTGCCACAGTGCAAACAGTAAGTCAAAATAAATTGCTATTTCTAAATATAAATTAAAGTTTATTTAAGAATATTATTTAGTATGGAGATACCCTGCATACGTTCGTTGACAGAAGCAAGTACAAGGGTAAATTTTTGCCAGGATTCCAGGACCTTCCCAAAGATCCCCTCACAAAGATTCTGTAAGCTTTGACAAAGATAACACGTTACGTTATACCGCCTATCAATCTCTAACTATTCTATTATTTAGGCCAGTGATTGATTTGAAATTTATTGATCATGTCGTTGGAAATCAACCAGATGGTCAAATGGAATCAGTGGCCAAATGGTAAGGATAACAATAATTTTATTCTGAATTGATAGCATTAATTAATAACTTCTCATTCATTCATATTCTCTCTTCAGGTACGAGCAATGTTTACAGTTTCACAGGTTCTGGTCAGTTGACGACACTCAATTGCATACAGAATATTCAGCACTACGTTCCATTGTGATGACAAATTATGAGGAAACTGTAAAGATGCCAATAAATGAGCCAGCACCTGGGAAGAAGCGTTCACAGATTCAGGAATATGTAGAATATTATGGTGGAGCCGGTGTGCAACATATTGCACTGAATACAAGTGATATTCTCACAGCTGTAAGTAAATCTGTGGCCAATATTCTTTCAATGAGAAATAGTATTTGAGAAATTGTTATCGATAACGACACTTGTTGCATTCTAGATTAGCCATTTACGTGCAAGAGGAGTGGAATTCCTTGAAGTACCGGACACTTATTATGAGATGTTAAGAAAGAGACTCGAGAGCAGCGAAGTTAAAATACTTGAAGACTTGAATATTCTTCAGGTATGAATTTTTGTGGATCCTCTGTAAATGACAATCAAGTGTAATTGTCAGACTAATGAAGGGGAACTGTTTTTAGAAATTGAAAATATTGATTGACTATGACGAAGAGGGATATCTATTGCAAATATTCACAAAGAACATGCAAGACAGGCCTACGCTTTTCATAGAAGTCATACAGCGTCGTAATCACAATGTAAGATTTTTTCTCGTCTTTCTCTTATTCCTCGAATTGTTTCTTTACAAGTAACTTTAAGCGTGACGCGTGACTCGTCCACGTAATTAAATTCCCAATACGAATCTGAAAAATTTCAATTGTACGAGAAGAACAGCCGAATGGCAATTAAAGATTATTATTTTATTTACAAATCTCTTTATTCGTTACAGGGTTTCGGAGCAGGCAACTTCCAGGCTCTGTTCGAGGCCATTGAATTGGAGCAAGCAAAGCGCGGAAATCTCTAGTTAATCATACTGTTAATAGGTCAATAAAGAAATTTTCAAACGAGGGCGAGTTATTCTAATTTGTACAGGTGGCGGGATCGTTATAGTACCCTCGCGAATAATTTGTATACTTTGTATTTAACGTTAATTCTCCGCTTTACAAAAATACATAGCATCGATCCTACAAACTACGTAACAACGAATTTCGCTGAAGTATTAACAGGAGAAATTCGTAATGACGATGTATGAAAATGATAACACGTCGCGCTAGTTCATCTCGTCGAACCACTAAAAAAACATGGCAAGTAGACATTCGTCAGGACGAATCGCTCGACATGTACAGAAAGGAGGAAAAAGGGACAATAAAAATAAATTTAACTTATGTCAGGATGCATCCAAGTAAGCGAGACAATTATTAAATGGTATTTATTGGTAATAGCAATTAGCCGTGGCCAATGTATATATATATATATATAAGCGAAAATGCTTTATATAAAAAGTGTCGGTGCCGAATGACTGAAGAGGAGTCAAAAGGAGAGGATAAGGATCAATAGAATAAGAGCAATTTGGGACAAATGGATTGAAGGATATATGTAGAAAAAAAAACCCAGAATAGTCTGTTAAAAGAAATAAAGTTTTCTTAAAGTAGCTCACTTGTCTCGACGTACGATGTGTTACGGAGTGTGACCGCGGCTTGATAACATTACTGTCCACTGTTATCGAGTTTATCTAAGTCTTCGCTCGCTCGTTTGCTCGTTCGTTCATTCGTGTTGCTGTATTTTTTTTCTTTTTAGTTTTTTCATTGCTGCTTAATTCACACAGTATCGTGAATACCCAGGCGGAAGATGTCGTGTTGGCAGAAGAACGAGGGTCCCAGTGGCTTCAACACAAATATCTGCGAGAAGGCATGCGGTGGGTCTTCGTCTGCCTGCAATCACAATCAGCATACTATTCGGAGAGGCAGCGTTAAATAATCACAGAATTATAGCAATAATATAATTATCATTGAAAAATAATGAGTTGTGCTTCTCCTTTGAAAAGTATTGCAGTCTATGGTAAATAATATTCGTAGTAAGGCTTGTATATTATTTTTAAGGTACGTCATTGAGAATTAGAACTGAGTCACAAGTAAAAATAATTTGTTATCAGGAATTAGTACAGATTGCATACAGAATATTGTTGATAATGTATTGTTAACAATTGTTGTTTAACATAGAGTAGAAATTATATGACCATGATAAACATGCGTCATTTCCAAACCATGCAGGGAATAAAAATAAATGATGACTATGGTATGTAACAAAGGGAAACCACTCGATGTTCACAATGCGATATGATCTTTGAAGTTAAACTATATGAATGTATGTATGTTTACCATTTTGGAATCTAAAACTTTCATAAGAATGAAGCAAAGTTAGCTTGTAAAGATATTGTAAGTGACCAAGTTGCATAGATATCGGAGAACTCATAGTACTTTGTGTAAATTTATTTAATTGATATTATAGAGTAGCGCGTTTGAATGAGTTAATGGAAAGCGTGCATGCTCACGTGACAGTGAGCAAAGCATAACAGCAGGAAAAGTATGCTGAGCTTGCCTGTACCACGGTATGAAGATCGATGGTCGATCAGTACCAGACGTCTTAGACAGTGTCGTGCAACGCGAGTCTGAAGATGTCGTGCTGCACGAAAAAGCTGATGCCGATTGGCTTCAGGACAAATGTCTGGATGTACGCGTGTGGCTGATCTTCATCGGTCTGCCCAACCATCAAGAATCGATAGCTAATTATTATTTATGCAATTCCAATCTACATGGTTCTTTTATCATTGAAATCTATACTAAAGAACAGATTATTTTGTTGCAAGTCAGAATGTTTTCCCTTATATTATTATTTATAGTATCTTATCACTGGTTTATAGTGACACCACTTATCACTGTCATTTTTGTACAACACTGTCTGAACGTTTAAAGCAAAGTTGAACAAAAATATAATACTAATAATTGCCATTTAAGCACAACAATATTCTTTTTGATAATATCTTATTGCTGTATCATGTGTTCTGTATTGGCAACAAATATATTACTTTTGCCATATGAATATAATGGTACTTAGTAAGAATAGTAATATTCATAATAGATTGAACGCTCACCTGCAACCTTCCTAGAACGTTGATTAGAACACCCCCATCAAACATAGGTTGGGAATCAATGGCAGTTATTATTCGGTTAATTTTTTGAAAACTTAAACTCTGAAAATAAAAAACAAACTTACATAGATCCCTTAATAAAGTCTTAGAAGATTATAGAACACCGCAGACTCAGATCATCATAAACTCCTTCAGAAGATCTGAGAGCTATACAAGCATCGAGCACACTGGCTCCAAAATGTTGAATAGCACATACCCAAAGATAACAAGACTACTCACAGTTAGTTTCTCCATGATCTTGATGGCACCTTGAATCTGAAGGCCCTCGAACGTCATGAAGGATGATTCAGTCTAGCAATAGTAGTGGGAAAAGTAAGAAATTGTGGTTATGTTACATAGCAAAAAATTATTCTCAAAACTTATAAATCAAGAATAAAATAACTTACATTGTACATATTAATTAAGTTTGGCCTCTGCGTAGGATCATCGAACAGCGCATAATACTGCTGAACGAATCCCTTGCCGATCGCCTCGTATGACGGGTTAAGCGCCATCGCCAGTTTAGGGCTTTATTAACTCCTAATAAAATGTACAAGAACGCAGTCGCGATCAAAAGTTTGTTTGCGCGGGGACGCCGGTATTCTCAAGAAATCCTATGAATAGGATAATACGATGCCCTTCGACATCCCTCGTGCCACTTGTAGAAGCAAGGAGGAAGCGATCGCCAATTTGTCGAAGCGATTCTCGAACTACCGACGCGCACCTATGGCCGATCATATTGCCTGCGTGTACTACGAGCTACTTCCTTGTGGCTCTTATGCTTAGTCGGTACCGTTGGTCTAAGCATATGGAAATCCATAGCTCCATCTAACTATGTTACTAATTCATAGTCAGTAACGGCGGCAAATATTCAACGTCCAAGGCCTTTTAAACCCTTCTGAATTTCCGATCGAATTTCTGTCTGATGAATCACGCAAATACAATGTCACATGCATATTTTAGTTTACTGCATTATTGTTGGGGTTTTCAAACAGCATTTCAGGAATATTAATGCCACGATGTACGGTACGAAACGGAGAGAAATATCTTGTAAAATACCGCAACAATATTTAGCTAATTCTAGTTTACATGGGACTAGATATCTGGTGGAGGATGATCGACATTGGACTGAGCGGTAATTATGATTTCAAATGTATTTTTTGATATTTATATATTCCGTTTTCTTTTCAGAATCTTTTGGTTCTTTGTCTGTGGATTGTCTTGGTTTGGCTGTGCAGTAATGATCAAGGAGGTTTTTCTCGATTATCGCTATAATTCAGTTGATGTAACGGTTGATACATTGTACTTGGATTGGCAAGTGAAATTTCCAAGTGTTTCAGTATGCCCGGGATTCTTAACTGATGGGCAGAACATAATAGACACGTATAAGAAGTTTTATTAATATTAGAGTATATTCGCCATTTTTAATTAACAAGTATTTTCTTTCAGTTTTATGAATAAAAAATTCAAGACGAAAGGCCAGAAATATAATGCAAAGAGGCTCTTCTCTGATCAGAATTGGGGATTCGTTCGTGGGTCCAAATATTTTGATAATTTAACGGGTGACGACCTGGCTGAACTTAATGAAAAGGTATTGCGTTATTTGTTAAATCTTAAAAAATTAGTAAAAATTCATATATTTAACAGGTCCAGATGAATTGTTCGGATATATTCCGCAGATGCCTCTGGAATGGAGAACGTTTCAATTGCTGCAACCAATTTCATCGAATCAAAACAATGATCGGTACTTGCTTTATACTGAACAATTATCAAGTTGAATCAAATAAAGAAACAACAATGGACTTTATGATGAATAGAACAACAGGCGCAGGAGAACTGGACATAGAATTTAATTCAAAACTCACCCAATACAATGTAAATAATATTTCAATTTATTAGAAAAATTCAAATTTCTAATTAACTATAATTGATTGATTGGATCTTTAGAGTTTCCTTTTAAATAACTACGAGATACCTACGACTACCAATCCAAACGATGGCAACAGTATACAAGGAATGAAAGGAATCAGACACGTTGGGTTCACGCTTCAAGATGTCGAAAATGTAGCTGGCATGGAAAACGTAGCCATACATCAACGGAAGTGCCGTTTCCCATGGGAAAATGAGGATCTAGTATTTTACAAATTGTATAATTACAACGCGTGTATTTCGGAAGTAATTACCTGAACCGGATATGATTTTAAATATTGAGAAACTGATAAATTTTTCCTACAGATCTGGATCAAGCGGATGATTGAATATTGTGGATGCGTTGGTCACTTATTTCCTCATCCGCCCTGGATGAAAGTTTGCAATCATTCTGAGCTAGAGTGTATCAGTAAAGCCAAATCTGCAATTGTTGATAACATATCATTGAAGGGTCAATGTATATCAGACTGCGAAGGAACAATAATTTTTAGCCACGCTAACGATTGGATGGAACCTACGGCTGATAAAAATGCTATAATTTTTCATATGCTTTCTCTACCAAGTATACGTTACAAACGATATTTCACGTGCAGCTTACTTGACGTTGTTGGTAATTGAAACTTTCAATAATAACATGTTGGTATAATGATTTTTTATAAGTATATCAATGAAAAAACGTACTTTCAGTATCCGTTGGAAGTGCAGCAGGACTCTTCATGGGTGCAAGTGTATTGAGCCTTGTGGAAATTCCGTATTGGCTGTTACTGCGAGGTTTCTTTCGTTAATAACATCTTCTATGTTTTCTTCCTTAAGGTTGTATAGGTACAAGCTTTGAAAGGGGTTTAATTATGCTTAAATGTTTTATGCAAAACAACTCAATTCATTACACCATATTAATTTTAACATATATCAATGGGTATGAAGTAGTATGGATCTGACAAAGGATGCTACCGTTTTTAAAAAAACTTTTAATCGGTATCCCTATAACTAAGAGTTTGAGGCTATTTAGGTATACGAAAGTTCGCTGATAATTAAGAATTAAAATTAATATACCTTAATCTTATTAAAATATCTCAATATACATCAAGGCTTTGTTTGGGTTTTACCAGTGCAAACAGATTTCACTGTGTAGACTTCCTACAACACAATAAATTTTGATGATTTTTGATGTTTTGATGCTATTAATGTTATCGCTCTGTACTCGTGTGGATATACTATAGACTTTAGATCGCGTTAACCATCAGATTTAAAATCGTATTCGCACCTGTAATATTAATACTTTTTCAAAATTTAATGCAAGACTCTTAAATTAATCCAAAGGATAAGATTTGTCTTTTCTGTCATTCGATATTATCCACCTGCCCATGACGTCATGCAATTTCTCTATCTCAGCACAGAAAACGAATTTTGTCGTCAAAATGAGAAACGGATTGTACAATGCTATGTTAATATGTTGAAAAAATATTTATCCTCCAATGACATTGAAGTAGCACCACCAACCTGGAAAAAAAAGTCCTGTAGAATTGAGGAGCAGAGGCTGGATCCATTAGTAACCAGTATCCTATACCTTCTAACGATATTACTGGAAGTTGTTGTCTTGAAGCAAATTTTTAGCGACTCGAGTATCTACGCTAAATACGCGTATACAGACGGCACTGATACAGTTTTAAACAAGCTTGTGGATCTATCCGGAACGCTTGATAAGATTCCACGGCCATTTTAAGAAAAATTATATATTTATCTACTGTACATACATAAAGTTCTAGCATAATAACCTTATTACAATGTTATTACAGTGCGACACTGAAATTATCATCCTTGTATTCATTGCCACAAGTCAATAATGAACTAAATAAAAATAAAATGTTTGTTTCTGTCCAGTAGTTGAGTAAAATGAAATTTGTAAGACATAGTATCCCGCAGTTGATACCATTTACCTCAAAAGACGGCATCACCAGTTGTTGCATCATATACAATTTTGTTTGATGCGTAAGTTCAGACATCGCCTTTACTTGGAAGTATCATCGAGAGAAAAGACCAGTCATAATTAATTAATTGTTGAGAAGTCGACGTGTCGTTTTCTTCGTTATTCATAATTCTTGGGGAAGGCTCTCGAACGGTAGGAACGTCATCATCGTCGTCGTCGGTCTCGTTCCCAGAATCAACAGGGACGTCCATGTTTTCACTGTAGGAACAAAAGAACAGCAACGCTCATTAAATATCAGACTGCAATATAACATACAACGAGATACGTAACTTGAAAGAAGGTTATGTTTACCTGGATTTGTTTTCAAGCTGCTTGTTGCTTCCGGCATGTGGTATCAGGGAAAGAATAAATGGTGCACTGAGCATCCTTATTGGCGGTAACGTGTGAGACGATACGCTGAGTAACTGAAACAAAGATTTCACATGTCTTCAAGGTAACGAAATGCATTCTGTTTATCTAATACACGAAGGAAGCAACCCAACGTTCAATTCCAGACAATTCTTGTAATTTTCTAGTTCAGATCTAGGTTGCCTCGTTTATACAGCATCCTACGCGCATCCTGGATTGTACGAGATACCGTTATTTAAGGGATAAATAAAAAGAGGGAAATAGAAATCCATCTAGAAATAACACAGAGATCAACAATCTTAAATAAATTAAACATTAAACTATACCGTCTCACGTGCCTGTGTGATAATTTTTTAAATAACGTCGTTCAGTCATCGGTTCATTATCAGTTTGCTTTAAATAAACCTCCCAAGCACAACACCCGCGAGGGGTTATCAATATCACGAAATAACAAGTTCATCGAGCGTAGCTACCGATTATTACAGTCGGATTATTATAAAATATCTTGCAACATATTTTTTCATAAACAAATATATTCTTTGATTATGACGACAGCTTCTTTTTCCGGGTGGATGTTTCACGAATGCAATCGCGTGTTTTACATTGTAAAGTTTTCCACTAAACAAAACTCTAGCCAGAGCATCGATCCTGGGAGGATTAACAATAACAAACATACGTGTATAAATGGCCTTGCGCAGGAGGATATTCGAGGGATATGAAATTTTAATGGCAATAATAACGAGTTGATTGCCAAGATAACGAGTTAATTATAATTAAGCTAATGACTTAATCATAATAATAATTTCGTACCTACCCCCATCGCAGATACTGTCCTAGGGTTAATAATCGCAATCAATGAGTATCTTTCCAATCGTTAAAAGGTGTAACTGCCCTTAAAAATATCAGTCATGAGAATGATACAGAAGAAAAGATAGTAAACTAGAGGAACGCTCGTCTCAGATAACGGTGATCTTTTTTCCTTGAAGATTCAAAAATAGTAAGTTTGTAAAATTACATATGTAAAATTACAGTGCTCCTGTACACTGGTGAGATCAAGGGTCATTGAAATGGAAGATATAAAGAATTTCGAGTGGATGATACCTTCTATAATTGGGTACAGTATGTACTGTTCATGCGGTATAATATGCAGCATACAGAAGAGGCCTTCTCCAAGTGAATCACGTTCGCCGAAATCATTTCGTAATGCACAAGACATTCTGTAAGCAAGTCCAGCGTAGAAGTACAGTGCCGAGGGGGTGGGAGCTCACAGATCTATATTAAATCATGGGGACGCTTATGAAAGTCAGTTCTACGACGAACGTCGCCTGGTATATTCGACATTCTCCTTCACCCACTCTGACCTCTTCTCCTCGAGTACATTCCTGGTGCACATTTAAAACGGGAATGAAGCTGAGCATTCTGACAGTTACGCTGTACCTGATACTGTCTCTTACGGTCGGTGCCCTGGCCAAGGCAATCCCAGTTGGCAATCCAGAAGCTGTGAGTATTTTTGATATCTTTAAAAATTTTAATTATCAAATTATATTTTGATATAAAAAATTCTTTGCATAACAGAAACCACGTCCTTCTCTTAATTAATTTTGTCTCGCTGTGAGTTTTTGTAATTAATATAAAAAATTATCTTCGATATCGATTCCAGATTAGTTTTAATATTTAAGAATTACGTTTTTACGTCTCGGAATTTTTCAATGGCTGGGAAATGTTTTGATTAGAGTGTTAAATGATGGTAAATAATAAGTGGCGAATGAATAAATGTATAAAATCATCACTTAAAGTGCATGGGCGGTGAATCGCGTGGGAGCACTCTGTTTGTCAGGGCTTTGACTGCACTCGAAGCAGGACGAGACGAGTTAGGAGCAGAATGCATCGGTACCCTCTCACCGGGACAAACTTATACAGGAAAAATTTTCTTCCGCGTCTTCGTCATGGTAGACGACGCAGCTAAGTCTTACGGTTAAGAATGAGCGTTGGTGGCTCTACGTGATAGAGACGAAAGTATAAATGGATGAATGGTCATTGTACGATCCTTGTTAAATCATCTCTTGTATTTGTCGCGTTAACTTTCAATCAAATATTAAACGACCACGGTGAGAATCGTGTCTGACTTTGATACTTTCATTGGTGTATATTCATCAAAGACGCGGATAAGATATAAATGAGAAATAGCAAGACTACGAAACAAGACAAAGACGTTCTTACTGGCATAAGATCTTTTTTTTTGTAATTATATGTGTATACTATAAAGTGCGATAGTGCATATCGAGCGCGTTACTTCTGATTGATTTGTATCCGATTATACAATAGATACCGATAATATTTAAGACAATGATGTCGTCGGTTATTATTAGATCTCTCAGTCGTGTCTAATGTTCCGATTGATAGTAGGACCACAGCTGATTATCAGAGCCATCAGCATCTCTTGTTTTCCATCACCTAATGTCTGAGCCTCTCAAGTCATCTTGAATTGTTGCTTATTGTTACAGGCTATCGAGAGCATGAGGCAGATACCGCAATGGCATTGTCTTAGATATAGGAAATTCGATCTAGTTCGACGCTGTCGGAATTATAGAATCGGAAGGAAGCACTAACATTCATGAAAGAACAGGAAGCTGATTTGGTTGAAATGGGAGTAATGACGAAGAGGCGAAAAAAAGCACTGAAACATTGAAAAAGTACTGATGACCTAATAATGACATTATTTCTTAAGGGATAACTTTAACCATCTCGCCAATTATCCTGGTGCTAATTAGCATCGTTATTTAGCATTAATCATGAAAGATGCAGAAAATGGAGATTATTTATGTTATTGTTTATATACTTAAATATTTTTCTCCTAATTATAGACTCTAATCATTGATGTTAACGTTAATTAATGAAGACTACTCTATACGCGATTTCTAACGTACCTATTACTTAATGAAGTATACCAAAGATATCTTTAGGTTTAATGTCGTAAGAATTAAGTTTAACGATATTCCTTGTATGACGATGATTGTTATTAGATAATAACTGTATTGCCCAATGGGATGAACTGATCACACTGATTACTTGATTATTTATTTCGACTCACCTCATCTGTTACTCCTTTTCCTTGTATACCAAGATATTCGTGTATGACAGGACTTTCCTTTTCCCTGTCGGACACTTTCTTGGATGCTATAAGTGCACTGAAGGCTGTCGCAGAGATATTTCCTCGCAGGGATAAATTATCCAAGGACACATTGGCTTCGGCTTCTGATTCTAGTGTCAGAAGCTCCTGCGAAACATTCAGACAGTTCATCATTAATACGACTTTTGGACGTGGGTGTTATTGTAGTTGTTTTCTCCGAAGTTTCGTGCTGACCTGATTGGAATCTAGGAAGAACAATTGAGACTTTCGCTGCCATTGTTTTAACCAACTATCACATTTCTCTCTCAGATGTGGTACGAAGCTAGAACCTAGGACTGAATTGCCTCTAGGAAGGACGTTTCTTTTTGTGTAGACAGGTTGCGACGATTGCGGCGTAAATACATAAACTAAAAGAATCGTTGTATGATAAAAATTAGCCTATCATTGAATATTTATTTTTGTTTAATTTTATGCTTACGTGTAGCGTCGGCTGTGAACGCTGCCATATAAATGGAATTCGGATCTGAACAAAGAGTCGCAAGTTTTAATGGGACGCTCCATATTACTGAAAGAGTCAAAAGATTCCATACTGCTATGTACTGTGCTGATCCAACAACAACTAAATGGCAGGCATCGTATCTTCCAAACTCTATCCGTCTAACAAATTACAAATGACTAGTGATCATCAAATCTTTGGGATTTTTAAATTAGGACTGCTTACTTGATCGCTGCGGAGTAGCGACTGTGTGTGAGGCTGCACTTTAATTCGTTTGTCTCAGGAATCCAGATAGTTAAGCTTGACCCAAATCCAACACCCAATAGAGAACCATCCATGGAAAAACCTGCATCAGTGGCACTGAAGTCTCTGTATAAACCAACACTGTGACACTGCCAGTGTCTTGTCTTTTCTGAAATACCGTAAAACACATGTACTGATTGAAGTAAAAATACATGAGAAAATAAGAAGACTATAAATATTAATTACTGTATATCGATGAAGATTCTGCTAAAGTCCACAGTTTAAATTTTTTATCCTGACCCGTAGTTACTACTAACGAATTTTCATTGTCGAATGACATTAATGGTTGAAACTGTAGAGCGTTTACTCCATTGTCATGAGGTAATTCAATGGATGTGTTCAGTGTATACCTGAAAGATACTTATTAATAAATTACAACTAACAGTAACTGGAAAGGACTATTGTATCGATACGTACAATTGCTTTTCTAAATCAAATTGCCAAAACTTCAAACGAACTTCGACAGCGGATACTTTGTCATCACGATGCTCGGCAGTGACCATCCAGGTTCCATCGTGATTCAAAGCAATTTTTGTCACTTCTGTATTTACAATGACAGTATTTCTTTCTTGACTCAATAAATTCTGACCAGTTATATTAACCTGAAGCAACGGAAGAATATTCATTCATTTAGTAAATAAAGTTACATTCAATATCATTTGTTACTCACATTATATAGTAAAGTTTTTGTGTGGACATTATAAAACTGTACATGACCTGTCCGACTATTAAGAACAAGACTATTTGTCCTAGGATCAACAGTAAGTCCTGCAGGAAATAAATTTGTATGACATGGTGCTACACCCCATGTAAAGTTTTGTATTACAGCTGAGAGTTTTCGTTGAGGATTTGACACAATTATACCTGTAAAAGATTATTTAGTTACGTATATAATATTCTTTTGATAAATAGGTCAATCGATGATGATGTTTACCATTATCTAATGTAGAAATAGCTACGTATTGATTGTCTGGAGCAATTGTTAAATGTTTGATCGGTGCTGGTAATCGAGGCAGAAATGATTTATGCTGCGGATTGGTAAGAGTCCACTTAACAAGTACACATTCTCCACCACCGGTGTAAAAATGTCCACCGGAAATACTAAAAACGATTTCTGTCACTGGCAACGTATGCCAATGGTAAGTACCCTGGATTGGATTGCTTTGCTGTACATCTTTCCATACCAGAACACGACCACTGAAATCACCCGTTGCTACGTAGTCTTCCTCAGGATGGCCAGCAACACATGTTAACAGTCTTCCTGTCTTATGTCTGTAATAAAAGATATTTAGATGAGCAAGTCATTTTTTTATTTAGAAACCATAGCAATGCTTAGGAAACTCACAGTGTCCCTGTTAGTTTTTTGGCTGGATTCAATATGTGAAGTTTGCGACCTTGGGCAAGAGCTATTAAATTTTGTTTCTGATTACCAATTATATCAACGTAATAATTATCATCCGTTTTTCTGTAATGTATTTACGTTTAGAACATTGTTAATTAAAATAGGTTTACACCATAAATTCAAAATTCACTTACAAGATATTTGTATGCTCTATACGAATTCCAGTCTCCAAATCAAATAAAACAATACGAATCCTATTAAATGCTTTTACCACATAAGTCACAAGCACTTTCTTAACATCAAGATCTTTCTCTGTTTTATAATTCAAAATGTGAAATGTTCGTACTGTAATATCAGCATCAGTAATATTTAATGCCTATAAATAATAAAAATTATAATAAAAATAAGTATATAAGATTAAAATCAACTTACATATCTCTTGATAATAAGACCATTGTAGCAGTTCCAAAAAATAAGTTCCCCAATATCGGAACATCCTATTATTGTACTTAAGCTATGAGAACATGAAGCAATCCCTGCAATTTTTCCTTCTATCGATTCAAATTCGCGTACAAAGTCTCCAGTCTGTGTACTAAATGCGCGAATCACTTGCTTCCATACGACATAAAGAATCCTAGAAAAATAGAGTAATATAAATATTTCATGTATAATTAAAAAAAACTTAAATAGTTCAATAAAACATGATTACAAAACTTACTCTCCGTTGTGAGAAAATAAAGGTCGACGGTCAATAATGCTGCCACCACCAATCCTTTTTACCATTAAATTTAACTCGTCCTTTGACGTATTTTGCCCTTTAGAAGGGTAAGACAATTTTGATCGCATTTTCCACAAAATTGAAAATACAATAATACGGCTGCAAACTTAACACCATAAATAGTAACGGCATAAGTTTTCAAGCTTATAGGTTAGCTTTGATTAGACCATGTGGATGATGCCGACACGTGCACATACATACTACATGCTGTTGCTCCAACTAAATATCACTCAATTGCACTTAATGCTCTATCTTCCTTATATAGACAGTTCATATAATTGATTACTCAATTTAAATAGAATTAATTTAGACAGTTACTGTAAATACTTTAAATTATACTACTTTGCTACTGTCATTACACACTTGATACTAATCAATAACTATGGATCCTATGGACTAACATGTTGAAACTGGAATTCACTTCCAGCTCATTGTGTTAGATGGCTCTTTGACAGAACCGACTCATTTTGATACAATAAAAGTAAATTAATTCATTAATAACATAAAATATACTTAGAAAAATTGTCAAGACAGATTTTGGAGGAAGATCATTAGAAAACTACAAAAAGGTAAGCATTAAAACTTTTAGTTCATTGATTTATGGTGATGACACTGCATGTAACCTTAAGTCATTTGTACTATAAAAGTATTTGATTTTTTAATTATTGAATTATCTTTTATCTTTATACATAGTATTGTTACCTTTTTATATATCGGAGTTCGGTTTGTCTACTTTCAGAAGTGGACCAGTCAGCCTACATGAATAGCATCGGGGAGACATGCAACGAACTCAAGAAACAGTACGACTCTTGCTTTCATGTGTGGTTCTCTGAGAAATTCTTGAAAGGGGATACAAACGACTCCATGTGTGCACCAATGTTCAAAGTGTATCAACAGTGTGTTAAGGTAAAGCATATAATTATTTAAATCACAGGTGCTGTATTATGGAGGCATGTACCGATTTGAAGAACAAATACGATGCTTGCTTTAATAATTGGTTTTCTGAAAGATTTCTCAAGGGTGATCACGATGACTCCATGTGTGCCACTCTATTAAAAGTTTATAAAGATTGTGTTAAGGTGAGCAGGTCAAATGTCATTTTTTTAAAATTACATCACATTTATCATTCTTTTAATAGTAAACCTACCAGAGCGGTCAAATGACCGCTTTTGAGACTTTAATCAAAATTGTTAAATTCCAGGTTTTTATTTTTCTTGAACTTACTGCACGACTATGCTAAATTCTGTATTAATTGCAATCAACTGGGAAAGACTATAATGTTTATTTCAAAAGCGGTCATTTGACAGCCATCAGTAGAAATAGGTATATATAATATGTCTGTAGGTTTAGTGTTAATATCAAATATTTATTGATGCAATGCAAATCTTATGTCAAAGATAGAAAACAAAAAAAAATTAAGAGATATTATGACTTAAAGGAATTTACAGAATTTCCATTTTGTATCTGTTTACAGAAAGCTATGAAGGAACAGCACATAGAGCCCAAGGATATTGAAATAAATCATCTGGGTACGGAAGAAGAGAAAACCCCTCCACGCAGTTGACAGTATAACCATGGGTACTTGTCTAGCTTCTTACGGAGTCTCTGTACCCCATGCTCACCACCTATGCTCCCACTTATAAATTCTGTACAGAGAACTAGTCAGGAGACAAGTACCTGCTTAGCACCAGACCTGAAATACAATTAGCTAGCAAAATGTGTAGATTAGTTTGGACGTACTAGCGCGATATAGAATATTATGTGATAATCACAATGTACGGATATAGCAAACTTTTATAATGACTATTAGATGAGTAATAATGTATTTCACTTGAATTTATGAATGCAACGTTCATTTTTTTCTTTTTCGGTACAAATAGTCTGGCTTTGTGTGCTGATATAAAATATTGCCTCAATTAATAATAATAATAATATACATTACACGAGAAACTATGCAATAAGAAATGTTAACACTATCACTCACGACATGCATCATTGAAGAAAAATAAATATAAATGTTATTCAAGTTTTAATAGAGGGTACATTTTCGTACAGGCGTTAAGTCACTTTGCGTAACAGTTCTCATAGCGACTTCAATGCCCACTGCGAAACTTTGCGAATCTGGATAATACAGAGAAAAGAAAAAAAAAAACTTTATACAATCTCAGAACATTTGATTGCGCACTCAATCGCTCCCTTTGGATTCTGCATCGCTTGATGCTGGCGTGCTGTCACCAGGTTCCTGAAAATCAACGTCACTACCTTCATCATCAGATTCCTTCTTATCCTTCTTGACCTTCTTTCCGTCCTCCTCCTACGGAATCATTATCAGCATTATAAAATTCAATGTAATCAATAAAAAAGATATATTTATCAATGCACATACCGCAGTACGCTTGTTAGCCTTCTTTTTTCTTTTGTCCTCTGCGCTATCGGCATCCGAGCCCATCTTCTTAGACTTCTAAAATTAAAAATTAAATAGAATTTTGAGTCATGAAGCGTGATCTTTTACAAAGTACAAAAAGGAAAACTATAATACCTCATCGTCGCTGCTACTGCTGTCATCATCTTGAATGAACTCCTTACTCTTGAATGAGGTTCCGGTCATTGCTTTGTTAGGGGAGTCCTTTTCTTTTTTGGTTTCCTTCTTTTTCTTATCCACTTTCTCTACTTTTTCAACCTTTTCTTTTTTATCCTTAGATTTTAGTGAGTTTTCGTACTCCTTCATGGCTACTGCGTATTCCTCCTTAGCCTTTGCTGCTTTCTTTTCCCACTCCTAAGGGAAAATTCATATACCACATTCGATGTAATAAATAAAATTATTGTAAGTTGTAAACAAAATGATTTATGCAATAAGATTTTTTAAATTAATTTACTTACAGATTTATCCTTAAGCTCTCGCCAAATCTCGCCTGCCTTTTTGGCGATATCAGTTACCGAAATTCCAGGATTATCTGTCTTGATCTGTTCGCGTGTGTTGTTTAGCCACAACATGAACGCAGTTGCAGGTCTCTTGGGTTTGTTCTCATCTCTTTCCTTTTTCGGTTTACGTTGTTTTCTTGGTTTCTCAGACTGTGAATTATACAGAACTGTAGAAACTATTCACAGTCCATTTAATTGATGTTAATATAATAAGAAAATTACTTACCACAGTCTTAGCAGATTTGTGTTTCTTCTCTTTTTTTTCCTTCTTCTCTTTCTTTTCTTTCTTTTTGCTGCTTGCAGATGCATCTGAATCGTCCTCGCTATCCGAAGTCTTCGGATCACTTTCATACTCCTCAGCCACGTCACTCTCGACCTGATTCGGATTAAAATCCTCATCTGTAGACTCCTCGGAGTCCTGGTTGTCGTCATCACGTTCCTGAGCTTCTGCTTTGACTCGTGCCAGATAAGCATCAGGCTCATCCTCCTGATCGCTGTCACCAAAGTCGTTGTCGTAAGTAAGCTTGTCCTGTAATTAAATTGACATATTTATGTTTATATCGTTCTAAAAACTCCTGAAATTTAATTATATCAACTTACGGTCTTTCCACGATTCTTGACTCTCAGCTTCTTTGATGTGATAAAATCAAATAGCTTTCCATATTCCTCCTTTTCAATACTGCTAAATGTATGCACTACACCACTGGTCAACTCAATCTCAAAATCAAAAGATCTGGTAGATCCACCACCTCGAGCAAAGTTTACTGACAGAATTTCATCAAAACGTATGTGAATTGGTGGCTTGTGAACATAAATGAAGCCACGTTCAAGTGGATACAGGTAGCCAGCTGCAGCCTTGAAAGAACATCCAACTGCTGGTGTTCCAGAATGCCTGTGAGGTCGAAAAAGATGTATATATTTACAAAAGAATTTCTTACTCTTTAAGTAAATTATGACTTACCCTAAAAAGCCACCAGGGCCTGTGAGCTTTCTGTTGATAATGACTTTCATGACTTTACCGAGGACTTCATAAGTCGGTCCAGACAGCTCCTTTGATAATTTATCATCATACTTTTCTTTCAGTTCTTTCCTAAAAGCAATAGGCAGTTTATATCATATCTGAAGAAAAACGTATGTAGGCGATTCTATTTATACGAGACTAACTCAGAAAAGGGAAGTTCAATTGAAGTTTCTTCTTCTTGGTTGAATAATAATACCAAATAATGGTATCGAGTCTGACCCTGTTTGATGGGTGGATCGAGACTGACCTGAAATGAGAAATATTAAATAAAATCAATCCACAATGGAACAAAGTTTTATCAAGTGAATTAATTGAAACTTACCACAAAGAACATTTGTCTGCTGTCTTTATGTGGTAGGAGAAATAGTCTCAAGACAGTGGACATTGGAATCTTATAATCAAACGTTTTACCATGAAGTTGAAAGAATGATTGAAATATTTTAATATCGTATCGACCGCTATAAAGAAAGAATAAGAAAGATATTATTACTGTAATAAAAATTGTTGATTCAATCATTTTCCTATTTTAATTACCGAGGCGTGAGGCACTGAATTTCTCTGAAGATTGCAATTGCATCTCCACTGACACTAATAACAGAGGCTTTCTCCATAACTTGTTGATGGAAAGCCTCAACAGGATCCTGGTCTGCGCTATCACTAACTGGAATGTGAAATCTCATTTCCATGAGACTAACTGGAGCATCATCATTCTAAAATTATATAAATATTAGATGTATAATGTCAGGAAACATCTGTATCATTATCCTACAATATTCAGCATCACAGTATACCTGATGAAATTCCAACGTAACTTCATTCTTTCCTGTGTTACATTGAGATACATCATATAGAGGGATTTCGAAAGCTGTGTGATGGCCTACATCAAAGCTTAAGACAGATCCATTGAACTTAGCAGTTCCCCAATTCCAACCCTTTAAACTTAGTTCCTTCTCAAGCATGTCTTTCTTATAATTTACACTGAAGAATTTAGCTATTTTTTCTTGGTCCTAAATATAAAAACAACAATTAAAAATCACACTTGATACATGATATTCTGTATTAAATTAAATCACTATTCCACTGCAACGAGTAGCGATTAGATCTCAATACCCACTCCTTCCTTGAAGCCACGAAATCTGTGCAATGTTCCATTTTTCAAAAATATTCTCAGTCCCCAAGTTCCAACAAACTTTTGATAATTGACCATTTCCATATCAGCTGCAGATATCTGCTCGACTTTCCCCGTTTTCTGATTTTTAAATATAAGATTCTGATCAGTGAGTTTGAGTCTCCCAGGCGTCTGTAAAGAAATGCAAAAAGTAATACATTTAAACGTAAATAAAATAGCCCAAAGAAAGTATATACGAACCATAGCGCCTTTAACCTCAGCCGTTACATCCGGATATTCCAGAAAGTCCATTGTGCCTTAAATATCTCAAATGATCTTAAGAGAAACACTAAATTAAAGAAGAATATAAAAACTTTCGTATCACACTCCAATCAATCAACACGTCAGTGTTTCATTCCCAAGAAATATGCCGGTAAATTCCTTGTGCGTCGAATACGCAACAACGTGAACAAGTGCGCCAGTACGCGGCTTTCAAAACGCGAATCCCAGATCATAAACAGATGAAATTTAAGAGATGCTGATGCTGTAAGAAAAAAAATGATCAGCGCTATCTGCCGATCTAATAATCGTACTAAAGTCATTACAGACCGCACTGCCCTCTGATAAATGAATTATGAAACTATTACTTGCCAGTTGGATTATCACACTGTCTCACACTCGTGCACAAGTATAAAAAACGTGCAGTAGAGACATGTAGGCAAGGGAAATTATGCCTTAAGCCGGATTTCCGTGGTTGAAGTCTACGCTATTGCATTTATTATTCGAAATTCCCGAGCGGGGAATCGTTGCGTTAATTGACATTCCCGGGAAAGGTGTGTCGTTACTCAGTTATTAATGTAATAACTCCGATCCGTAGAAAGTCACTCGCTCTAGTTGCTCCCCCGCTATTACGTACTTCTACATAATACTTGAATAAACTGTCACATAACAACTCTCGCTGTTGGCTCTACTGCTCGATCTAACTGCAAAGTTATCTTTACGCACGATTCGGCGGCTGTGTATGTGGGTGGGACTACTGATTATTTTCGTCCTCTTTACAAAGTATGCTTGTCATTTCCGACGTGTTTAACAAAATTTAAAAGTCGTTCCAATTACAGTGTTAATTTCGAAACCTTTTTTCCCGTGGAACTATTGCTATTGTCTCTTACTATTTCAACCGGGCGTTTGCGTACGGTAAGTATATGTAACGCAGTTTTTTTAATCTCCAGAAAACTCCTTTTGGAGCTCTTGTGAATCATTCAGTAATACGAATATACAAGCTCGTATTCAATCGTACTACTCATTCTCTTATCGTCATGATATACATAAAAAGTTCATTGATTAATACTAATGTCCAATGCATTAGTGTTTTTGAATGAGCTCCATTCATTTTATTCTCAGAGCTTTATACGTTATATGATAGTGTAAATGTGCTATATGACGTTTCATACTAGATGTGTAGGAAGAACTAGTGCGAGTTATTTAGTAGTTTTTTTCCTCTGTTGTAATTCAATAGCATTCATGGACGTACGTGCAACCGTTCACATATTCCTAACGACTTGTTGGAACAAGAATAATATTTGTCCTGGGAAAAAATCATAGTGTGCTACTATTGCTTGTGTGATATTTTACGGAGATGGCCTCACTGTCTCTGCCCCGTGTATTGCAGCAGAGAAAAACCAGCCTTGATTTGGAACGTGAACACTTTGAGAAGTTCCAGGTATACTCATTGGGAATTTTCCATATGCACGTCACTTTCTTTTCAATCGCTTTGTTTGTGAAGTCTTTCAGTACCAAGATAATACACACTGTCATTTAGCATATCAATGAAGTAGTGTAAATTAATTTTTTAGTTGCCTCAGTTATTCCTTGGTACTGAAATGTTTTATTTTTGTGATTTCCTAATACCTTTCTCTTATACGATACAGCTTTACAGATAGTGCATGCAGGAGACATTTCACTAGAAGAATAAACTCTAACGTATTCCAAATAATTCTTTGTATTACAATCGTTTACACTCTGCTAACAATGCCACCTGTACTACTTGTCGACAAGCAGCTTCAACAGCTGGTGAGTAACAAACTATTAACGCTTTCACGCTTACTGCTAATAAAAGTTACCTAACGGCACAAATTTCTAATAACGATGTTCTAATCTTCCATATCTTCTTTTGTGGACATGTGTTCAGTGCTTACTTTAATTTCCAGGGCATAAGCATTAGGAAAGCAGTAAATCCTACAGAGGAACCTGTTAAAGAAAAACATGTGCGCAGTATCCTTTACTATAGAACATCAGATTGTATGAACAAACAGATGTCTCATCAATGAACAGATGTTTTCATTATTATATTCTTTTTGCTTCTCTAATGGATCTACGATCTCTAAAGTTGATTGCTATACGCATTTATATAATATCAACAAAATTTTATAATCTTAGGGATAATTAGTCATCTTTTAAATATATATAGCGAACGAATCCTTAACTTTCAAGCTGATTACCTTAACAATAAACAGGTACAATTATCGGCACATTTCAAGAAAAAAGCGGAGCAACCTTTTGGATGTTCGTGTTGCGCCAGCCATTGGAAGAAAATCGTATAGTAGCATGGAAATTCTGTCATGTTTTACACAAGGTTCTTCGCGAAGGCCATCCCCGAGTAATTCCCGATTCTCAAAGACATCGCGGTAGACTGGAGGACTTGGGGAAATTATGGCAGCATCTACGAGAGGGATATGGTCGCCTGATACAGCTCTATGTGCGATTGCTCATTACCAAATTAGATTTTCACAAACGCAATCCTCGCTTACCTGGGAACTTGCAAGCCACACCAGAGGAACTTGAAGCTATTGGAGAAAATGATATTAATGTGTAGTAAGCATTAAACCAAAATAGTCTATACCTGCATAATCCTTTTCAAATAATATACACACTCTTTTCTATATACAGCTTTCAGATGTCCGTAGAGATGTTTGATTATATGGATGATATCTTAAATTTACAACGAGCAGGTACAATTCTGATATATTGTTTCAAAATATAAATTCAATGCGTATTGTTCAGATGAAGTTTATATGAATACATGTTCAAGATAGTACCTATTGACCTTTTCGTATTCTATGTATTTATAGATACATTATATGCGAATGGGTCAATTTTTAATTATAAGCACACGATGCTTCATCTATATCTTTGGAAACTTTCAGTTTTTGGCTCTTTGGGTATGTCTCGTTCAAACTCGATGACCTCCTGTGGACAATGCCGGCTTGCACCGTTAATACCATGCATTCAGGATGCTTCCCAACTGTACGATTACTGTGTCAAAATTCTTTTCAAGCTTCACGGTGCTCTACCCGCCGATACCCTCGCAGGCCATCGTGATCGATTCTCCAAACAATTTCAGGAATTGAAAAGCTTCTACAACACGATCACGCATATGCAATATTTTAAAAGTCTGATAACTATTCCATCGTTACCTGAGGTAAGATTCAAATTTGTCATGACTCACAATTATATCGCATTAATTCAATTTTCTCTATCATCAATAAATGCTTCGAACAAGATAATTATCATTTTGTTTAACAATCTGCATAAAATGACCTTCCAGAAACCGCCAAACTTTTTGATACAAGCTGAATTGCGAACTTATGTTACTCCCGTTGTGGTTTTACCGCCAGAGGAACCAATGGATAACGAAGCTGCAGTTGATAGTCTTATTGACACTTCGGATATTATTTCACTACCTGGTGATCAATTAGATTCTGCCAGAAATGGTTCAATTTCTCCTGATGTATTGGCAGAGAGGTAACATGCAATTGCATAATGGGACTGAATCGTTATCTGAATGATAGAAACATTAGGTGAATGAATATTTTGCTTACAGAGACAGTTTGATTGAACATTTGCACCAGGAAAATGGCAGGCAGCGTGAGGAATTACATCACTTGCTTACCGATCATCAAAAAATTGTTGAGCAGCTTCGTAATCGTATTTTGGAACTCGAAGCTGCACTTACGAACAAGGTAAGCATTTATACAGGACACACTTTACTAAATTGTATTACAATCGTGTGATAATATTTTGGTTTTGCGAATGATATTGTATTGAATAAATGTCGACTGCTTTAGGGAAGTGAAATCGTACATGAAAAACAGCTGAATCAAGAGCTGCTGAAGCATAAAACCGAGTTATTGGGGAAATTCCATGAGATTCAAGGTTACTATAACTTTAAATCCACTAACCAAGTATAATTTTTATCAAATCATATTGTATATTCAAATGATTTTTCTATCGTTGCAGGAAAAAATAAAACCGTGGAAGAGAAGTTTCAAAAGCTTAAAGAAGTTTATTCGAAGCTACGCGAAGAACATATAAATCTGATTAGAAAGGTCAGTAAAATTATTATAAACCAGTGCCAATTTATTACTAGAATATATAAATAATTAACTTTCACATGAAAGAAAGCAGATGTGGATAAACAATTGGGCGGAATGAAAATTGTCCAAGAGCAATCAGAAAGACGTACCCAGGAAGCCGAGCAACGTCTCCAGGAACTGGTTCAAGGTCAAGCGACGGTAGAGCAAGAAGCTCAACGTGTAGCACAAGCACGTGCGGATTTGGATGACGTCAGGAAGCAATATGATGCAGCTAAAACTGAAAATTTGGTTGGTACAATCGTACATACAATCACACTGGACAAAGATGAATAAACAATTCTATACGGATATTTGATTTACAGGCGCTGATTGCAAAAATCGATTTTATAGTATCCGAAAAGGCAGTAGTAGAAGGTGATTTGCATGATTTACTTGCACAAAAAGAAGAGTTGGATACAAGAATAGAAGAGTTACGTGTCGAATCCGAAAGATCAAGAAATCAATTGAAAACTGATACAGAAGCGGCTCTCTACGAATTACTGCGTACGTAATATCCATAGTAAATTTAATTAAAAAAAAAAAATAAATGTATAATAATTTAATACAAAACCTAAATATTGTTTCTTAGTAAATTGCATCTCCGAGGCCGAGAGTATTTTACAAAATGCAATACACGCCATCGACAATCCTGCGATATCTGCTGTCACGTGTACTCCAGATTATTTACGTAGCCAAGTCGAACCCACTGTTCAAGCCTTAGAATTCTTGGATACCACATATGCAAATTACGTCACTGATACCACTCAAAGGGGACCACTGATTCGCAGTATCATTCACGCAGCGTATATTCTTGGCGTCTACTTGATACATGCTAAATCTACATCGAATGCATCTACAGATATCGCGCTTGGTGACAGTGAGTAATAAATAAGACGACCTACAGTTGTCCTTAGAAGAATCTACTACCCGCGATTATGTAATTCAGGACTGGCAGACGAATGCAAGCAGGCTGGTTCCCAGGGATTAATGTTGTTGAGCTACATCAAAGAGAAATCACAAAGTGCTCACGATCAGCTTGTGATCGTAAAAGATCACATTACAAAGATCACATCCCTAGCAGATTCCTTGTCCAATACACAGGGAAATGCAGAAGTAATCGGCGACCTGGTTGAGAATGAACTTTTGAGTATGGATAAAGCCATAGAAGAGGCAGCCAATAGAATACAGGCATGTTAAAAATGGAAAATAGTATAATCAAGAAACTGTACGACAGGATCATTTGATTAACGATTGATTCTCCTTTAGGAAATGTTGACTAAATCCCGAGCTGCGGATTCCGGACTGAAATTAGAGGTGAACGGTAAAATTTTGGATTCTTGTACGGATCTGATGAAATGCATACGGATTCTCGTGAAAAAATCTCGACTGTTACAGTCTGAGATTGTGGCCCAAGGAAAGGTAACGTTAGGATCGTAACCGTAACTGGGTTTAGTGACTGTAAGTTTATTAATTTTTATCTCTTCCTTTTTCTCTCTCATATCTGATTGACCGATCAGGGCACAGTCTCCGCTACGGAATTTTACAAGAGAAACCACCAATGGTCCGAAGGCTTAATATCTGCTGCGAAGGCGATAGCAATGGGAGCAAACTTTTTATTGTGAGTAGATAAAATATTTGCCCGTACGTTCACGCACGTAGACAATTTACTTGGAGCAAATTGACATATACCGTTTGTATACTGTTGGTATTAATAGAGAGGCAGCCGACAAAGTAGTATCAGGAAATGGCAAGTTCGAGCAACTTGTCGTCGCATCACAAGGAATTGCAGCATCCACTGCACAATTGGTAGTTGCCAGTCGGGTCAAGGCTGAGAGAAATAGCAATAATTTGGCTGCACTTTCCGAAGCTTCCAGAGAAGTTACGCAGGCGACGGGTAGCGTTGTTGCCACTGCTAAGAGTTGTAGTCAACTTGTTGAGGATAACGGTAAATGGATCATTGCCCCTCGTGGACGAGAATAATTACAGATTTACTTATTTCTTTTATTTATATTCACAGAGGACTTGGATATGTCTGGGCTTAGTTTGCACCAAGCAAAGAGATTGGAAATGGAAGCCCAAGTTCGTGTATTGGAACTTGAGCAAGCATTAGAAACTGAACGATTACGTTTATCAGCGTTGCGTCGTCGTCATTATCAGATGGCTGATGAGAGCCAAGGTTAAGTAATTAGATAAATAATATAACGACAGTAGTCTAGCAACGATTTACAAGAAAAATGATACTGGCAAATTAATGAAACTACTATATAATATTTAGTATTTAGTTTGCTTTTATGTATATGCCCTCTATCAGGGACAAAACGTTTTTAATATTTACAGAGATATACATCAATTCTCTCTACTTTCTTGCTCTCATGCATGCTTTAAAGAAATGCAAGACATTTTTAACGAACGACGTTCTCAGACCTGTAGATACACAAAGTGGGTCAATTCGCATGAACGTGTGGCAAAGTCACAAAATCAAAACTATATAATGCATGAAAGACCGCGCGTGTCGTTAAGCGAGTTTGTTAAATTGTCAAAAAAAGAATGAAGTAGAAAATGTAGGGTTCTTGGATAAAGAAAGGAAAAAGAAATGAATGTAATATCCGATGTCTTCTTACCTTGAGATTCGTCATGACGAGACGTGCGGTGCTATTCGCGGAATCGTTTTAATTAAGATAAATCATTATATTGTTAAGCAATTTGTAACGTGTAAAACGAGACTTATTTTATATACTGATACATGTAATATTTATTCATTATAATTACGTCGTTCAGCTTGAATGTCGAAACCTCATTTTTTCCAAAGTATTCAGATTTTTATCATTCAATTGTACAAGTTGTTATTAAAATTTACTATAATGGACAGAAGTTGTACTATCGTTCCTTTTCTTTAACGCTTTTGTATCTCCTCTCGTTATTACCTGTTCGACAATAATCTTCATTTTTCTGCGGACGGTTGATAAGATCAATGGTACTCCGGTGAGATTCTTTGAATTGCACTTGCATAACAACAATAATTCATATTCTCTTTTGTCCTTCTTATGCCTTCCTCTTGGAACAGTACATCAGCAGTTCTAGCTTGCGCCCGTTATTGTAATATATTTACATAATTCTTTTATTCGAACATGTCACGATACATCTTAATAATCGTTAATAACTGGGTTACACATTTTTAAAGAGAACAATTGCTTCATCGTCATTCACGCGAGGTTTCATTGTGAATTTTGCGAATGATGCGCGTAATATTCTTTTTGGAAGTTGAAATTTAAGAGAAAGTATGAAAGAAGTGGTTACAGAGAATTTTACGAAGAAAATGGATAATATAGAAGAAACGAAAGACCTAGGAGAGTCCAGTTTACGAGATAAAAGTAAGAGAGATATTGCGCGCGTATTAAAGCTAAGAACGAGAAAATAGTATCTTTTTTTTTCCTTTCTTTTTGTAAATATATCCTGGGCGACAGTCGACATTTACATTATTTACAGATTCGAACATTGAAAAGAAAGGAAAGATAATTTGTTCGTCAAGAAACTTTGCCATTTATAGTGGAATGCTGTACGGCTCTATAATCCTATTTCTTTGTTTCATTTTTTTTTAATTTTCTTGTATTTATATATTTTTTGGTTCTCATCTGTCTCCGTCGGAAATAAAGAAAATAAGATCCTTCGTCAAACGGACGAAGAAACGAGCCGCGATGCTTCGCAATGCAGCTCTCCACATTTCAATATATAATTATACTCTATTATATATAATAGCTATCATCGGTTTAAGTCATTAATAATTGGCAGGAGTTTCTCTCCCAATAAACCTTCAGAGAGACAGAAAATCTAATACCGTAAATTTACACGCGACTACACACACACCCCAGACACGCCGTTCCATGCATACATGCATCCATAGATACACAATCGCGCGCATAACCACCCGATCCAACTTGCAAATACGTACACAGACGGACGTACACACGTGTTATCGCTTTAATAGGCGAAGAGAAAAAAAAAATATTTTCAAGATAAAATCGTACTCTGCAACAGACTATGTACACTTCATTTCTACCGTTAAATTTCTATGTAAGATAGCGTCGTACTAATTTAACATCTAGTTACACACTCGCAGTAACGTCCACTCCATTTAAAACCGTATGTCCACTTGTGAGTTTATTATCACGACATACTCATCGTCCTCCAGCAAAACAATTAATCAATCAATCAAATTAATTAATCGATCCGTCTTCACACCGAGAGTCCGTTACGTGAGATGTCAAACCTTGTCTAGTAGTATTATAAAGCGAAGGAATCCACTAGTAGATCCTCGCCCAGGATCCCTGCTTATCCTTCATTTAAAATTTCGAGTAACAGTCGTTTCAAGCTATCCAGACCCGTGAGAAAACCACAATCAGGACCCTGGTGTATAGTGGAGTTGGAGTTAGACGGAACGGCAGAGCCAGTACGGCTGAAGGTTGTATGCGCGAAGTCGATCATGCGGATATCAACCTTAGAATCCTGATTATCGTTCGCCTTAGGATGATCATCCTTGACACGCAGCCTCTTCGAGACAGTTGCGCATTCATCATCATCGTCGTCGTCGTCCTCGTCCTCGTCCTCCTGAGTGCGTTCTTCGTCCTCATAGAGACGTAGCCGATGCCTATGTCGATTCCTCTTCAATGCGCAATCCGAGCTCATGTCCAGGTCGGAACTCGTATCCTCGGAACTTCCAACCGCGTGCTGCCCGCAGCAATATTCATCACCGCTACTGCTACTGTACAGCATCCAGTTATCATATTGCGGCGTTTGAACAACGGTGCCTATCATTCCGGACGGCGGATCCATGAAGACGGTCTCTTCGTTTATCGGATAGAAACCCGTGGCGTTCTTGGCCCCACGTGCAGCAGCTTCCCCGAATCCACGATGAAGTGACGCTCGACTTACTTCCTCGTGACTGGACATATTGTAATCCGCCGAATTGTTACTTGTATCCGCGTCGTAACAAGTGTCGGAAGCGTGGGCTATGTTTTCCATGTAACTCAGGTCGGCGGACTCGTCCTCGACACGTAACGGAGCAGCGTGACCGTGGCCTGAATAATCGTCGATCTGGTATCCCTCGTAGACAACCAGCAAGGAGCTGAGTAAGAAAGGAAACAAAAAAACCATTATTGTTACCCTCGACTTACCTATGACTGTGAACTGTACTTTAGTTTTCAATACTTTTTTTCATATAAACCGCCAGTGTCTTTTCAATGAATTGTCAATCAAGAATTCATTCACTCACCAGGAATAGAATCGATAGCTGCTCTGTCTCTCGATGGCGCGACGCAATTGCTCCAGTCTGGTAATTACTCGCTGAATGACCATGGTTCTCAAACAGAAACCATTATGAAAGAATCTATAAAGGGCGGCCTTGAAACCTTCCTCATTCAATTCTCTTCCCCAATACTTGTCCCTCTTAACGTAGTGATCCGTGTCCGCTTGGTAAACCTGACGAAAACAACAATTACATATAATTTTGCCTTGACTATTGTCGTGCAAGGTCCAACACATTGCGAGGGACCCTGAAAAATTATATAAATAAGTACCTGCATTCCGCAAAGTCTTACGCCCAGAGAGGCCGAGGTGCTCGCGGCACACTTTGCTATTTGTTTGTTTCGTTTTTCTGCAGACGCGTCGTCTCCGTGCTGTCGCGTTCCCATTTTTAGGTCCAGTATGCAAGGATGCGTATACTGAGAGGTTATGTTCTCCAACATTAGAAAATCTATGATACTGGGTTAAGGAAACGTAAAGACACCAGTAAAATCATTCAAGATCAATTCTATTTTCTTCAGAAATAAAATCTTCCTTTCACTGACCGATTTCACTCCTTGCCCATACGTTGCGTCACATTAACGCAGAAGAGACAGGATCCCAGGAACTTTCAAACTTTCCGTTACCTACCATTTCACTCACATTTCAAACTTCTATGTCCTCCAAAGTACTCACCCTGTAGGACTTGTAAGAAAATTTTCTGCAATTGTACAATAGATCAACCCACTGGACCCGTAGATCATGGACTGAAATGAACAAAAGGATACATTGCTTATTGGCTGCGCTGTCCAAATGACTTCCAGGCTTGAGAACGTCGACGGAACTATTGTTACGATGTATCTTCATCCTGATAGAGAAAGTAATTATTATTAAGAAAATTATATATTCAAAAGTTATTCAGGGTAGTTCATGAGTCTCTGTACAGCGCAACGGATAAAATGACTGTGGAATACTTGGTATAATTTATTTCATTAGGTATTTTTCCATATACATTGCCACCTAGAGTATCGAGCTAGCGTTCTCGGAATAGGCTTAACTACAGAGACAAGTAAGTAAGTAGATAAGTGAATAGATAACGGAATCAATAACGGCGGGATATTTAAAGTCAAAAGAGATAAATGAAGAGAGAGAAAAATTTAAAAAAAGAGAATATTGAAATCGTACCGTCCAGAAGGTGGATCGCAAAATTACATTTGCGAAAAGCCATAATCCAGCGCATAGGTATTATTTCCACGTGTTCGGAGGGAGTATGGCTGGTGCACCTACGTGAAACTATCGAACGATGTGTAGACTTGAGTAAGTACGAAATATCTTTACCTGAGTACGTCGTCGCGTTTGCGTTTACTGGAACTTTTTCCCTGACGTGGTGCTTCCTGATCCCTGAAGCTGGGGCTGTATCGTTTATCGAGGGTAACTTCGCCACTGCTCGAAGCCTGCATTACTCCTGAAACATCAGCATAACGATAAAACTGGATGTCCAAGAGTTCCCCTAGAGGGTGCTCGTCGTGTATCAATAGGTACTCTTTGTTCATTCCGATCGGCACAAGACTGATCGGTTACTAAGTAAATATGTATGTGTGTATATATATATATATTTCAAATCAATATATATATACATATATATATTAATTTTTTAATTTTGTTTTCACATTCATTCGTTCTTTTATTAAGTGCTCGTTTCAAAGTGCTCCGCCGCGCTTCGGTCGATCCCGTGACCGTCATGGCGACGGCGACGTCTGACGTCGACCGAAGCGCCGTGGCGAGTCCGTCGATTTTTCATATATACGGCGGAATTATATTGGTGATCAGCAACATAATACAAACCCCGAGCATTGGCCAAGGAGAAGCAAATGGAATGTGTTCAGGGCACTAGTGGGTCTGCGAGCAGGCCATGCCTCGATTCCCAGACACGAATCCTTGTGACTATTGGCTCTGGGGATACTTAAAAGAAAAGAGGTTTCTTGCTAGACATATTCGTCGTTGCTAGAGAGTAACGCGCTCTAAAGCAAAAACAAAAAAAACAACAACCAAATTACGAAGACCGGCCGGCTGGAAAAAAATTACCATTTTTAAGATCCTTAACACGATGTGATCTTCCTTTTATCATTACATTACTCTCTTTCTTTGTTTCTTTCTTTTTCTCTTTCTGTCTCTCTCTCTCTCTAGTTGTACTATTTAAAGCTTGTAACCACATGAGCCGGATATCCTTCAGAATTTAACTTTCCGTTAGGAGATTCAATGGAGATGTATTAACGATAAATTGATCAAATCAGCTTCCACAGTGTCATCCATTGTTACTCGACCGGGTACCCCGTCGCCTGAAGACACCAAGGAACTCTAAAAGATATCCAGCTGTTACGGTACACGGTTAATGCTAATAAATATCGCCCATCAATGGGCACAACGCAAAGAACAAAATTATAATCGCGCGCTGCTTCTATCAATTGTTGGAATTATAAGGCTTCGAGATCTCGAGACCGCGCATACATAATGGGGATTAGTTTGAATAAACAAAATATCATACTTAACTTAGACATCATTGACGTCATTGCCATGGAGCATCATTTCTCTCTTTCTTTCTTAGGCTTTTCCTTCCTCTCTCTCTCTCTCTCTCTCTCTCTTTCTCTCTCTCTCTCTCTCTCTCTCTCTCTCTCTCTCTCTCTCTCTCTCTCTCTCTCATTTACATTTCTTTTATCCATTCGCGAGGAACATAATATTAAGCGACAGCACGAAACATATGTAAACAGTAACGTTTGCGCGCTTTTGAAAAATGTAGCGCGCGCACACAGTGTAACGACAATGCAAAAGCTCGTTGTCTGTTTTTTGAGGTTAAAAAAGAGCAGGCGCGACGATACTTAATACTAGGAACTTTCATTGTATTCTATGAAGTCTATGTTTTTCTAATACAGCATTGTATTATTTTCTTTTTCTTTTTATCATTTATAGCATTTTCTTTTCTTTTTATCAGTTTATTTTACTTGCGCAACTGCACCGTGGTCAGGGTTCGCTTACCTTTGAATTTGGGGACAAACATTTGTATATCTTGAGGAATGTTTCGGTAGAAATCGAGCTCTCGGCGATTCAGTGGCTTGCAAATGGTGTTCTGGTTGAGAAGGAGTAGGCGCGTGTGACCGCCGACCTATGGGATGAACTTTGCGTTACATATAAAATCCAGATAGAGCCAGATAAAACTATGAGTATACCAATTTACGAGATATGAGTAACTCAGACGATGATAGCGTTTCGTTATTATCTTACGGATATCAAAATATATTTATATTTATCAGCAACAATTAGATGTGTAGATTATTCTTAATGATTCTTGGTGTAATCTATACTTTATTAAAAATATAAGTGATTCGTCAAACTACTTGTAGCAGATTGGCTGATTGTTAGGAATAAATAAAGAATCGACAAATATAGTAGTTTGGTAATAAACGGGCTAACTTTCGTGACACGAATAAATAAAAATAAACGAAAAAGGAAAAACAACCTTAAAGCGAGAAAATAAAACAATCAATTTCGAAAGTCAGCGACGGCTTCGTTGAAGTGTTTTTAAATAAATGATAAGTAAACCTAATTGTAATAAATTAGATTTTCGTTTAATATCGACGTATAAAATAACATGTCGTTCAATTTGCAGACAAGTAAGCGCCAATGATAATGTACTGATCCGTGAAATTTGCAAATGATAAAAACAATGCGACGCGGGTTAAAGTGAATTCAGAAAAAATTAAGCCAAGCTAATTAACGGGATAAAAATAATTGAGTCGATCGAAAAACATTAGGGAATGGCGTGACATAATAAACGAGATAGTGTTATCGTGTGTCCGGGCCTATTCACAAAGACGAAAATTAGGATTAAAAACAAAGAGGTTGTGACGGATGACGGAATCATGTGCGAAGTAGCATAAAGAAGCAGCGTAAAAGGCGCCTCATGGCACATCCTCTCTCGCGTGAGCGTCTTGGTTCACTCAAGTCGTAAAATTAGGACACGCAACAAAACTTTCCCACACGCGTTAGTCATGCATCGAGAAAGGGCTCACCTGATTGTTGAGAGGATGAAGTGCGACTTCCTCGTCATGATCCTGGAGGAAGGTGGATGTAGAGACGGGGGATGCGTTGCTGGTGCTGCGGCACTGTTGTTCAGTCTCTCCCATACCCCAGGCACCCGTCAGGTATACCATTCCCGCGTACTCGTATATTAAAAGAAAAAGACAGCGACCCGGAGCGTCGTTTCTTGATGGAGGCAGCTTTCACGAGAGAATGGCTTTGGTACTACTACTCCTCCACGTCGTTGTCGTCGTCGTCGTCGACCTTGTTATTGTTGTTATCGTCGTCTTCGCCGTTGGGGATAATGTTCAACTTCCTTCAACCCTAGATCACCCTAGCTTGCTTGCTCTGTCGAATTTACTGTGTTGATGGGGTTCTGGTACTGAACTGTTCTCCTTATCTCGGGGAGTTTCGCACGGACTGTTTCATAGCGTTACAGGAATACACAGTTATCGCATCAGCTGTCGACCTGGTGGGGATACTCAATTGAAAGGAAACTTACACCAAGGATAGAACGGCACTCTGAATAATACATTAGGTTAGAAGCGAGCTCTGGAATATGCTTGAAGATGGCGTTTGATTCGTGTTGTAAACGTTAGGCGGAGCTACCTTTTATGAATGATGTATAATAGGTAATAAAAAGTAAATAGATGTTGGAAGTCGTAAGAGAAACTGAAATTCCTTTGCACGGGCAACGAGAAAGATTGTTGAAACACGAGATTAAGAAAACTGTCGAAATTATGTTTCTGACGTGCTAACAAGTTTGCGACATCTGCTGCCGCTATTTGGAATTTCGACTGTGAACTATATTTCTGGAAATTCCAGTATGCTTATGCAACCTGTCACCACTTTGTGTATGCGGCTTTGCTGGTGATGCAGGCGCTTTGTGTAGTGATTCAAATAGAATGCTAAGAGATGGCGACAGTGATTGGGTTAAGAAGAATTACAAGAGATGGCGGTAGTTTATGACACCATAACCGTGCTGAAAAATTTTCTATTCTATTTTTTTGCGGTACTGTTATAACATTTGTACTGCTGTTATTGTTTATAAAATATTGTGGATTTAATATTTCGTAAATACTTTCTTCTTTGTGCATCGGGTGTTCATTGGTTTTCTCTATCCGATGTTTCTATGCTACGTATGATCAGCCCGTACTCCTCCATTGAGATTACGGTATAACGATCTGTCAAGTCGTACCTGCTGTGACAAATATCTTGTATTTACTTTAAACTATTGTTAGAGGAAGTAATTGTTTAAGAAATGGCTGATCCAAAGTATGCTGATCTTCCTGGCATTGTAAGTAGTACTTGAACTCATGGTAGTTGAAAGATGTACTGTTATGACAAACCCTAATTGAAGTATTGACTCATCAACCTGCACCACATATATGCACTAATTTGGATTTAGCTTCCTGTTATTGTAATCTTCCATTTACAGGCTTACGATCAAGTTGATGTTTATGAAACTACTGATCTACCAGAATCACAGCAGTTTGAAGTTTATTCTGAGGTACGTACTGTATTAATGATATGTGCTATATTGTATTTTATGAATATTTTTTCCTTTCAGGATGAAACTGATTCCATTGAGCGACTGCATATTAGTGCTACAGAAGCTTTTAATAAGTTTAAGAGCAAAAATCTTGTAGGTGCTGGAGTTGATTTTTCTGATAGAATATCTAGAAAACCTAGAACAGGTTATAATTCGGTGTAAGAGCAATAGAATATTATTCAATTTTCTTTTTTTTACCAAAACAAATTATGCATCATTAAGTAATGATTCTAGGTTTGTTGAATGGGAACTTCGTGGTGAAAATGAAAAGGAAACACTATTACAAAAATACCATCGCTTACAATGTGAAATTCAAGAATTGATAGCAGAGGCAAATAAACTTAAGGTATGCATTTGATATTTTCTAATGCATAATTTCCATCTGTTAATATTTTTTTTGTTATGAATTAGGAAATGGCTAAGGATGATGAACAATCTGAATCTGCTGGTCAGGTTATTTCCAAGGTTGAGCAAATAAATAAGCAATTGGATAATCTTAAGTTGGAAGAGCATTTTGGATCTGATCTCGTAACTGCACTAGTGGATCCTCAGGGGACACGTCTCAAGTATTATAATCTCATACTTTCATATTACATTAATTTAAAATAATACTCTGCTTCACAAGTATATGTACTTTTCAGACAACTGGTTTCTCAAATTGAACAGTTTAAGGATACTGGTGCCATTGATGATGAGGATAAACCAAAAGATCAATCTTCCAAAGGCGAAGTAGGAGAATTAAACGTACTTAAGTATCAAATGCGTTATCTTCCTGAGAAAGCAAGATTTCAGGAAGTAGCACGACTCTCTCATCTTGAGCAGAGACTAGGACGGTTGGAAAACGTCATAGGAATTAATGATGATAAACTTGCAAGACTCGCTCAGGTAAGCATTTATATAAACTAAGAATTTGGTATTATTGCCATTAAAATACGAATATTTATACAGACGATCAAGAGTCAAGGTGTAATGGAATCGGTACAGCAACTAAGTGCAAAAGCTTCTCTATTGGATATCAGTCAATTAGATGCTGTAGAACGGAGATTAGCTGCCCTAGTCCATACAATGGATACTATTGCAGAAAAACGAGCTGCTACGCTTCAGGACACCGAAAGGGAACAAAAAATTTCAGAGATTTACAAAGTAGTAAACAAAACCCAAGCAGCTTCTGAAATTTTACCACAAATTGTAAGTCGTATGCTGACTCTGAGTAATGTTCACGCGCAAGGTTGGTAAATGTCTATAAAAACCTAAGATATCTTTTACTAAAGAATGACGTACTACGAGAAATTTATGCATTTACAGCTGCCCAGTTTGCCAAGTCATTAACCCAACTAGAAGAATTGCAATCACGAATATCTGACGGCTTGGATAGTAACAAATCGCTCTTGAAAGGAGTTCAAGAAAGTTTTGCAGAGAACTTGGAGATCATTAAGAATAACATAATAGCGTTGGATGAACGTGTCAAGAAACTCAGAAAATAATTCATAAAATACTTTAAAGTAGCACAAAGGGATTAAAGGTATTCTACTGTAAATTATATATCACGATTGTGTGCAAGCTTGAGTAATTTGCTACTTTATGTATTTAAACAATTAATGTACTGCTAATATTAAGCTTTGAGATCAGTTGTAAGGCTAGTTATAACTCATTTGTAACACAATCAAAAGAAATGTGTGATCAAAATAAATGATAACATATTTTCTTTCACACACACGCAGACTCAAAATATTATATTCATTATATTCCTGTCTGTACATAATATCTGAGTTACATTAAAAAAAAGAAAGGAGTATGGATGTATGGTGAGATTGGAAGTACAAATAATACAGTTTACCTGATTTTAGAGATCTTTATTTAAAAGCATTTAGAATCGCAACTTCTGGAAGAACCATTTGTTCTTGCCCGATTTGTACCTGAAATATTAGAAAGAAAACTGCTACCATTTCTGTTTTTTAAAAATCATAACACAAATATGTTTACCAAACAAAGATATTACCTTTCCTCAAACTTGACGCGGGTCTGGAATCGAACCTTCTTCCTCTTCATAGGGTCTTTAAGGTCTTTTGGTTGTACCTTATCCCAGGGTAGGTCAACAGTGTATCGGGTGGGCATGAGGTGATTGTAGTTCAAGACCTATAAGATCAACGAATAAAAATGAACAGAATGAAAAAGCCAGTTACAGAGTATACCGAATTAATTAACTCACTTTGACAAAGGGCTTGATCTTCGAACGTTTGTGCAGTTTGCCCTTTCCCATGCGTTTGTGCACCTTACGTGGGTAGCGGTCAATCCCAGCAACCAGTGCATGTCCGTATTGTTTCTCAGACGTACCATCGTCAAAGTTTTTTATGACGATAGCTTTGCGTCCTGCGTACCGGCCACTGAGGACCAGCACGACTTTCCCCGACTTCATAATCTTCACCATCTTGGCTGGTGACTGAAACACAAGTTGTTTTGTAATGAAAAATATGACAGAGATGATCAGAGTTATAAAGACCGGAGTTTGTTTAACACCGGACAAAGACTTCACGAGCACACAAGACGAAAGGGAAACAAAATAAAAGCAGAAAGAAACTTATTCTATTATAATATGTCTTGAATATTCCAAATTATTAAACGAAAAGCTTTTCAAAGAAGACAGTCGACGCATGACACCGTAGTAAACAGTATCACGACGAAGCCTGAGGTTATTTCGGTAAACTTTCTTAAATAATCCTCAGGATCAAGAATTTCTGGTACAGGGATATAATCCTTATTTATTCAATAAAACCTACAGTCTATATTCACATAAACTATTTCCCGTTTGCCCGATGCTTATGGATAACAATGTGCACAATTCGTGGAGGCAACTTACGCAGGTTCGCAAACCGGAAAAAAAGAACCTAACCTCACTCTCTGTTAGGATTACTTCTTCGATATTACTAGAAATCGTCACGAGATAGCGCTTCGGACGCTTCCGGATTGTGCGCAACAAGTTGCGTAAATGCAATAAAGGTTGATACATAGAATTTATGTTTCCTTAAATTCTCACCTTATGGCACTACGATCGTTAGCCCATGACGTTATCACCTTAAGCTACAGTGACATCATATTCCTAATAATTAAGGTATGTAGCGGTCGATCTGACTAAAGTTAACTAAGAGTTATCTACAAAAATTAGCCAATCAGATGCCCGTATTCCAAAAATTTCCGGATATATTCAGGAAATACCGGTATCCGATTGGTTAGTCTCGCTAGAGAATGCATACGATCCTGAATAAATAAATACGTATATACGTACACGATTAATTCAAACTATTGCACCACCTGAAAATGATGTTGGTTATTTGATTCCCGATGAACCAAATTCAGCGGACGCAATAGTGTTAATAGCCGTATATAACTATATATACACATGTATACACATACAAAGACAGAACACTAAGCTGGTGCTGCCCGGTCGTGAGTACCTGTCAGAAACTCAACCGACGAAGTTGTGCTCAATGTCGGTGTCCACTTTTTACCTGAACGTACCAGCAGTACGTTCACATCTTCGACTTGCCGGAAGGAAACTGTTGCGTTTCTACCAGCAAAAATGCTCCAAGCCGTACCTGGAGTATGGCACCACACAGAAGATTTATTTTCACGGTCAGGAACACTGCAGAAGATACATTTCCACGAATGTAACGATGTCTTCTGCCAAAGACTCTGGAAGTGCTGGCATTTTGTCTAAGCAGGGGGCCAAGGAACTTGCGATTAGACTTACCACCCAGGAACGCGAAGTACTCATATTAGCATTGCAGGAATGCCAGTCACAGCAGACCAAAACGGAGTATGAAGGTAACGTTGAATCCTGTCACATTGTTTTTTGTGTTCATTTTATTTAAAACTTCATATTGTAGACATACTTACATCAAGTGTCAGAGCTTCTTTTATTATCCTTCAAAATATATGAATTTGTTTTAGGGAAGTTGAATGAGAACTGAAAAGAAATAGGAAGAATTATTCTCTTACTATATAAATTTTATAAGCGAAGTAATCTGTAGAAGTACTCAGTGATGGGTTCTTGTGTAATTATTAGTATATCTTTTTAAAACAATTTATATAAATGATTAACCGTTTAATCTCGCCTTCGCCCGGATACATGTGGAGTATCTTTACATCTACACGAAACTCATTATCAAAGACTAATAAAAGATCCAATTAAGCGTAATACGAATGTGACATGTTTTCGACATTTAATTTTGTTTATTACTCCACTTCTAAATGTCATGTGATGAAATATGGATAGCAAGAATGCTGAATTATATTGTAAAAAATGCCATTATAATTCTTTGAGTAATTTCGAAGTCTATCGCGAATAAATGGACAGACAGCATAATATCGGTTTTAACTTTTTTTCAGTGGCGATATTAAAACGTTTGCGTGTTACTACAACGTATTAGAATTTCCTCCCGAGTATGTAAAACGAAAATCATGAAAATCAATTCGTTTTTATAGAAGTTAAAGCTGAAAGAATGTTTTATTCGGTTTTCAGCTTTATAAATATGTATATATCTATAGACACGCGATATTAAAATGGTTGAGATTCATTAAATGGAAAGTTCCACCTTAAATGAATTAATAAATAATATTAAGTGAATGGTATTCTGTTTCTTCATAATATTATTCGCACAGGTCACTTAGCGGCGTTTCGATGGCGGAGTAAATTTGGCCGACCAGCCAGAGTACCATCCCTTGGAGATGTGGATCCTACAGGAAGCTATTGCGCCGTTCCGGACGATTGGCTTCTTCGCAAGTACGGTACGAGCTGCCAAGAGCCTTGGAGCCAAATCAGAATTTTCCATTACCTTATACATAAATAGGAAGATCTGGAAATGTATCATTAGAAAAATTAAATTGAATCTCCGCCGCTTCATCTTTTCTCACTCTTATTTATCTTTGCCCTTGGCTCTTGGGTACTTTTAATTGTTTCTGTATGCGATTCTTGATAATCTATATACATAAGTCTATTTTATATTCCTCTGCTTTGCCTCTATGTCACGGATGATACAATATGTAAGTTCTCTAACTTTCATTTACTTTTTTTTCAAATAGAGTTATATAATAGAATGGTAAAGCTTTGAATGCACGTTAATGACTCCAAAGGATTCATGCAATGCCGATGACACTGAAAATGCATTTTTAGATATTCTAATTTTATTATTCTAGTTTATGTTCTGATGTATTTTCTAATCTTAGTACTTGTAGACAGATCACTTTTAGGTTTCTCTAAACAAGATCTTATATTAAGCCTTAAAATGGTAGATTACAAGTATTCAGTCTTATCCGGAATGATCAGAGACACAAGACTTGATTTTTTATCACTGATACAACTGTAAATCATTAACGAGCATGAAGATTATAGTAATTCCACGTTTAATTTTCGTGGATACTTGCAAAATATTACAGTGTCTCTTATTTTACAGTTGAAACAGTTCCACAACCAACACGCAGTGACTTGATACGAGGTGAATACACGATCATCATAGTTAAAAAATTTCCATGTATTTAATGTTGTCGATTTTTGTCTTGTAGTATCACTAGCAAATGCAATTCCATTCGTTGGTTTTGGCTTCCTCGACAATTCCATCATGATCATTGCCGTAGGTATTTATATAATAATATATTTATATAAAGTATCTCATAAAGGTTTTCAACCTACAAATTATTTACAGGGTGATCAAATCGAATCAAGTTTGGGAGCCTTTATAACACTATCCACAATGGCAGCAGCAGCTTTTGGTAATACAATTTCTGATATCCTGGGTATCGGATCTGCTTTCTACGTTGAAATGCTCGCTCAGAAGATTGGATTTCAGCCACCAAAATTGACACCTATACAATTGGACCTGCCAAAGTCGAGACGTGCTGCCAATTTGGTAAAATTTTATTGCTACATACTCTTTTCTTTCTGGAGAATAAATCTTTTTGCTAATTATTGTAATATCATTTTACAGGGCCGAGTACTGGGTGTAACTCTTGGCTGTTTACTAGGTATGACACCACTACTTATTCTTCACCAGGATAGTAAGGACAAAGATAAGGACTCACACGATTCTGAGGACAAGAAATAAGACAGTAATACAATTATATCTTTGTAAAATCAAGATGGGCCGATCATCTACCTTGTGAGAAAAAATTTCAACACTTGAAATTAAACTAAAGCAATTAAATGTCGCCGTAAATATGTGTATAGATGTATCTTCTCGATGTATGTATGTATATAGGCTTCCGATATTAAACTGTTATTTTAGCGTCGATACTTGTATACTTACTGAATATCCAGCTTGACTTAAATCATTCTCGGGTACTCTTGAATTATGTATCCACATGTTTAAGTAGTAGACTCGCTTTTATTGGAAAAATTATTCCGTTGCTTTTCATAGCGCTCGGTACAAAAAATATATTTTCATGTATGAATGAATGTATTCTTAATATTATCAATGTAGGATTGTGAAAGCGTTATGCTAGATGCACAATGCGTGCACTGGGGATCAGTGACTATGTCCGAGAGAAATTTTTGTTACGTAATTTGCATAATACCTCCAGTCCTTTGAAGGGTAACTCAACTCTAAACCAAGGGTCTCTTTCCAGTCGATAATCAGATCTACAGCATTTTCAACAGGGTTATCATCCTTATATGGGGATTGTTCCATAAAGGCACTGGTTACATCTGATAATTCCTGTCCATCAAAGTCTATGTCGTTTTGAAGGGCTGAGTATTCTGGGAGCCAGGTCATTATTGAACTTAACCACCACTCCCATCCGACGTTTTCGGTTCTGTTAACTCTCTCCAAATCACTACAAGGATTATGAATTTCTGTGCAGGGGAATAAATCTGTTACGTTCGTCTCAGCTTTATCAGTTGTCATCTTGTTTTCTGGAGTGACGATCTGGTTGTTTTCCACTAGCTCAGACTGCACGACACTTTGACCAGGAGCAAGTAAAATGGTGCCAGGTAGGTGACTTGCCACCAAAGCCGAACCAAACAGTGTAACTACTCCTGCTGCGTAGGTTGCCAAACAGACCGAAGACACACTGACCAGGGTATGGATGACCGTTGCAAGACAAGCTGAATCCATTAAGCGAGTAAGCTCTGTGTAAGAGAACCAACCTCTTTTACGAGCTTCTTTATACGCCACATCTTTTTCTAGTTTTTGTAGACGTTCCCAAAAATCGTGATCAGCAATAAAGACTGCCCAATCCTATGCAACAAACGATTAATATTAATAAATAATAAAATGATAGTGAGTAATTGAAATTATGATATTTACAATGGCATTGAGGAATTCCTTTTCCAATCTATTAATCTGTGGTACAGTCAGGTCTCCAGAGCGTGCCCATTCATTATTAAATACCTCATCCTCCTCTCCATCATCATGCAAAAACTTGCTGGCTACCATCTGTCAATGAACATAATTTTTGTTCAGACAATAATTAAAGAGACTTTTTTATAGTAACTTATGAGACTGTTACCAAGGAAACCAGAAATAGTTCAGATGGTGCCACTTTGTTAAGGTACTCAGGGTTACAATCCTTCAAACGTTCCAGATACAACAGAGCAAGAACCAAAGAACATGGTGAGACACATGCATTTCGAGAGACACGGCTCGCTTCTTCAACATCGAGGCGTTCCAGCGTGCGTCCATTCTTTGCTTCAGTAAACAATTCCGCAGCTAATTCTACAAAGAAATTGAGCGTAATTCAACATTTACAAAATTCGTTTAAAACTTTACAGGATATCTTCTACTAACCAGTTACTGGTAAACTGAGGCAATCGGTCATTGGTAATTTAGAATAATAAAGTGTCTTGCTAATTCTACTCAAAAAAGCATCGTGGTCGCCCATACTCTGAAAATATAAAAACATTAAATAACAACAATAAAATGACAGAGCAATAAATCTAAGCAAGCAGATGTTGCAATACTTTTAATTTCGCGGACGATCTTTTGCCCTTGGATATGTTTGTCATATTCACAATACTTTACGCGTGTATAATAAATATACGCGACAATGCGCAAACACACTTTCTGAAATTTAGAAATAAAAATAACCTTCTAACTACGAGAAGTTAAACCATAAAGTGAATTACGAAGAAACGCGAATTACACGCTAGACGCAAAACACCAACCCAACCGCGAGTCTCTCGCAGACTGAAGGCATTGGTTCGAATAGGTAATCGCGCATAAAGATAGGCGGGCGTGTTTATGTCTCAACCAATAGAAAAATAGCAGCGGAACCATGCGATGAATCATGAACCGTTATAGAAATCATATTATATCGAAATGATAATCATTTGTGAAGACGCAATATAATGATGAATGACTTGAAATATAATTACAATCAAATAATAAACATATAAAATATTTATAGAAATGTTAAATCTTCGATCTTGCATAAATCATGATTTTAGCATTTGATGGTTGGCAAACCGTAAAGACGATGGACTATTGTATGCAGGTGGTAGATCCAGAATGAGTAAGGGGATTGCCAGTAGACCGATTTCTACCTGTCGAAGGCGCCGCGCGACTTTGATCTGTTGAACTTTGTTTTTTTATTATTTTGGTGGTTTTTGGTGATTTAATTACAAAAATTGGCGGTGAGCCGTTTTTTTTTTATAGAATCAAAAACATATTTCGCTGTGCAGTTAGCCGTTCGAATTTTATTTTTTCGATTATGTGGGTTCAAAATGGGCTTAATCGATACAGAATTTTTTGGTGGTCACGAATTTACTAATTCAAAAATTCGATGGTGCGTAGATTCCTCAAAAAAAAAAATTCGTAGTAATACCAGAGATGAGTAATACGTGCTGCGGAGCAGTATAGGTTGGTTCGAAAATAAGCCGAAAGCGGAGAGTGCATCTTTGCTTCTGTGTGCCACGTATTCCTATAGTACACAATTTAATTGTTCCATATATATTTTAAGGTTCTTATATATATATTTTTTTCAAACTGGCTTCCTAATAATTTTTACTGAAGATTAACTTGAAGTCTGTAAATCGCTAATTATTGCGTGAACCACCAAAAAACTATTTGAAGATTTTATCCATTAATATCACAGAAGATGAATTCACAGCACTTGTAAAGATAAAATAAACATAAAACTGACATTTACTTCATAGTCCAAATCATAAACTTGAAGTAGATGCCTCAATGCAAACCTTCAGAATAAATATGTATATATATTAGTAGGTGTGTTCAAGCTATCCCGTTTTGGCTTTGTGTTATTGGATAATTAATAAACCTTTGTAACAAATTATATAATAAATGAGAACTTTGGACCCTTATCATGTTCACAGTTTCCAGCACTTGTGCCAATTAATAGAAATAGCATTATAATATTCTTACAGACTCTAGCTAAGAAGTATGGGTTTAAAACTGTATTATGACTTGATGTCACAACCTTCCAGGGTCCTCTATATATTCCTCAAACAATGTAAAATCCCTTTCGAGGAACATAAAGTAGTTTTAAAAAAGGGTGAACACTTTATGCCAAAATATGAAGAGATCAATCCATTTCAAAAGGTTCCAGCTCTTGAGCATAATGGATTTAAACTGATAGAAAGGTATAAGTAACTTGCTGTTTGGTAAATATATTCAATGTAAAATATAATCAATCGTATGTTGTTTGTGTTTTAGCGTGGCAATTCTGCGATATCTTTGTCGGGAATTCAAGGTAGATGATCACTGGTATCCCATATCATCCAAAAATCAAGCAAGGGTTGATGAGTACCTTGAATGGCAGCATAATAATACTAGATTGCATTGCGCAACATATTTCTTAGTAAAGGTTTGTATAACTATTATTGGAGATATCTGAATTATTAAGCGGTGCAGGGAGTTGACTTTGTATTACTTTATAGTTTTTGATACCAATGATCAAAGGGAAGCCTGCAAGACCAGAAAATGTTACAAAGTGTGAGGGACATATGATTGAATGTCTAGATCAACTTGAAAATATTTGGTTGAAAAACAAACTATTCCTCACAGGTGACAAGATAAGTATTGCTGATATTGTAGGTGCCTGTGAGGTTGAACAACCAAGTACGTCTTACATTCTTGACCATATTATAATATGATGAGATATCTTCAGTACTGTTTTTGCAATTTTAGGAATGGCAGGCTTTGATCCTCGTGAAGGTAGACCACAGCTCACTGCGTGGCTTGAAAGAGTAGCTGAAGAGACAAATCCTCATTATGATGAAGCGCATAAATATGTTAATCAGATTGCAAACAACTACTTGGGAATACCACCACACAGCTTGAGTAAGCTTTAATTTGATAGTTATTAAGAAATAATGTTGTTTAGTTATAATTTTTTGATCATTGTTTTTTTTAATTATCCTTATAAAGTTTGTTATGTGTGTGGTTAAAGTGGAGTTATTATTTGCATATTTTGCCTTATCACTTAACTTTTGTCATCCTGTGTAATCTCTTACTACACATGGTTCAAAATAAGCTGTAAATTTCACTATAATTCATGTACCAATTATTTTTCAAATTTTATGATTTATCACTTTAATGACAGCCATGACAGAAGTACATTTTATTAATTTGCCTTCATTCGCATAAAAATAGAGATTAAAATCGGGAGTTGTGCAAGCATCCAATGTTTTAACTGTTTTCATACTCATTTGTTTTTCACTAACTCAAGCAGATGTCAAGAAAGTGATAATAATAATAATGTAAATTTAAATGCGCATATATAGTCAATTAATTTAACACAGTTTAATACACATCAAATTGATAATTATAATTAACATTAATATCACTTGCATTGCTTTATATTTTACATTATTCCACACTAACATAAAACTCAGATAAATTCTTGAGACCAAAAAACAGCCTGTGAATCGCGGGATCAATTTTTATCTCGCAAATTCCATTCCAATGAACAAATATATATAGATAGTATATTTTTATATGGAATTAATTTTTTTTTGTAATTTAACCTCACACTTTATATAAAAATTTTATACGTTTATTCGCCAGAGTAGATCTCTGGCTGTGTGTGTTTATATATATATATATATTTCTATGAAAGTGCATTATACTAATAAATTGTTGTTTCCCATATTATAATATATGTTGTCCTTATCTGATTTTTGTATATGGTATTGCCAAATACAAAGACACGATGTCATAATATAATAAAATGTATAAAGTATAACATAATCATGTATTTGATACATTCTAAGTTAATTAATAGATCCAATAAGCATAGTTCATTAATACAAAAAAATTAAGTAAATAATAATCGACTCTTGATCTCGAGACTAATACTGACTAAACACTGACCGGTTATCAAAGCCTATACCATGGGCTGCCATGCGCGTATGCCATTCACTCACTATGGTATAAACTGGTTTACCGACATCACATTTTCCTGCACATTAAGGTCTGCTTCAATGTGATCGGAAGAGTTTACAGACATAACATTTTCCTGCACAATATGAAGCACATGTTATAGTATGATTCTTCGTTTGAAATACCTAAGAGAACATTATACATATGAAAAGTAACAAAAGTGAATACCTTATCAGCTTCTTCACTGGAAGTATAGACAGCAGGTAAATTTAATGATGGTACGACATTTTCTTTAAGTTTACGCAAGCGATGTCCCAGAATGTAATCACTGTCTTTAAAATGCCGATAGCAGGATTTTTCGGAAACTGATAAATCGGAATATTACCCCGGGAAGGGCATCCCAAAACACAACAAGCTCGAACCATAAGGAAGTTTCTGCAAACAACATAAACTTAAATTAAACAACACTATTCATATACTAACTGTCTGTGCAGTTATTTATATCACTTACCTGAAAACTAGATGTTACAAATATAAATTATAAGCGCACTATATTTCGATAACTCAATAATTTCTTACAGTTGCTCACACACTGAAATTCAATTCCTCACAGTATAAACAGAGATGAGTAGGGAGATGCACAACACTACGGTTTTATGCGATGCCAAAAACATGGTGTTAAATCGTAGCGGCGAGTCCGGGATTAGGATTTTGTGATCGTCGCCTCCGTCGACAATGCATGTCCCGTCGTAGCCGTGCTTAACGTGATCACAAACGTACAGCTTGGCGGGCAGAGGTTCTCCGCAACTTACCGCTGATTCCCAGAGCAACCCTTAGAACGAGGCCGCTCATCAGATATTGCCAAAATATTTTTTTTTGTAATCTTAAATTCGAGTGCACAGTGTAAGCTTGACAAGATTTGCTAAGAGAAAGGCCAGCACCTCATGCCTGCCTGCGTTAAGAAGTGCAGCGATGCGGTGCTAGCTTTCAGCATTATTTAACAATAGTTCCAGGCGGAACTATGGTCCAACATTCAGTACGAAAGAGAATTATTCCGGAACTGTTTGAAACACAACCTGAAAATAACACTGAAAGCCAGGTCCTTATGCATACCTGCACTGAAGCATATGGTGCGACTAGTATCCTTAATAGGTATTTTAACGATGTTACGAGATTTTGAAAAAAGTACGGTGCTGGAGCTCCACACCCGTGTACCACCTCAATTTTTGAAATATTACGTAGCAGAACTATTGTTAAAACCTATCAGGAACTATAGAACTCCTCAAGAACTATTGGAAAAGCTTATTGATGAAACATTGTTCCAAAATTGAGGTGCTACGCGGGTGTAAGCTCCAGCACCGCATTTTTTTTAAATCTCTTAAAAATGATTCAACAATCGGCTTTCTCAATAGTTCTCGAGGAGTTCTATAGTTCCTTATAGGTTTTAACAATAGTTCTGCTACGTAACATCGATAGATACCTATTAAGGATACTAGTCGCACCATACGCTTCAGTGCAGGTATACATAAGGAGCTGGCTTTCAGTGTGTTTTCAGATTGTGTTTCAAGTAGTTCCGGGATAGTTCTCTCTAGTACTCAATGTTGGGACCATAGTTCGGCTTGAAACTATTGTTAAATAATGCTGGAAGCTAGCATCGCACCGCTGCACTTCTTAACGCAGGTAGGCATGAGGTGCTGGTTTTTGTCTTAGTAAATCTTGTCAAGCTTACACTGTGCACTCGAATTGAAGATTACAACAAAAAAAATATTTTGGCAATATCTGATGAGCGGCCTCGTTCTAAGGGTTGCTCTGGGAACCAGCGGTAAGTTCCGGAGAACCTCTGCCCGCCAAGCTGTACGTTTGTGATCACGTTAAGCTCGGCTATGACGGGACATGCATTGTCGACGGAGGCGATGATCACAAAATCCTAATCCCGAACTCGCCGCTACGACTTAGCACCATGTTTTTGGCATCGCATAAAACCGTAACGTTGTGCATCTCCCTACTCATCTCTGTTTATACTGTGAGGAACTGAATTTCAGTGTGTAAGAGCGTTATGCATCTCTCTACTCATGTCTGGTATAAAGTTCGGGAATCATATATTTCCCGTTTACCCACGTTTGAGGTTTGCTTAAGGTATTGTCAGATAGAATCGACCAATCAAAAACGTGGGAATGGTTCGAGATTTCTTCGTCCAGGTGGCGCCTCGACACCATAATAAAAATGGGTTCAAGAAAATCGGCCTACTGGCAATCTCCCTACTCCTCTCTGGTAGATCAGTCGAATTATCGAGAAGACAGAATGGCTGAGAGGGTGTAGGTGTAAAGTAGAAGGAGTGTAAGGGAGGGTAAATCCGTTAAGAAGTCAGTAATGAAATGTCAGTTAAATTAATCAATGATCGTTAGGGTGATTAGTGATAATCTTGTTGCGCGTAGCGGCTACCTTTTTCTACGGAAAGGTTTGCCTTAGTGTTAACGTGTAACGTGCGATTCTGTATTAGGTGAAAGTAAAGGAGTTACTGTGCTAACCAGGATCGCGTTGGTGTTGTATTTTCATAAATAATTCCTGACGTCCATCGTACTCCGATTCAGAAGTGACGTCGAAGTCGTCGCCGACGACGTAATCATATAAGCTAGCTGAAAATGCGGTGATAGCTATGCGTCTGAAGGGGAAAAATAGCGCAAAGTCCTTTCACAGTGTCTATAAAGTGCTTTCACGTATATGCCGTAAGTAGACTACATCCATTTAACACGAAAAGGCCCAGTCAATTTATTAATGGAGATTATTGAATTTAGCAGAATGGTCAGAATATGTTGTTATGGTTCTGTCACATTTTCTTTCAGTAGATACTCGCAGTATTTTTTTTACTTACAATCAGTTCGTTGCAGCATTAAATATAGTACATTAGAGTACGGTGTTTTAGAGTTTGTGTTATATTGTAGGTGCAGTGGATAAAGGACAACTCGATGGTTTCATGGCTGATGGTACTGTGCCCCCGGCAAAGAGCGATAACAATTCTAAGAGCGGAATGGGCTTTGCAACTCAGCCTGTACGCCAAAACACAGAGTCTAGTATGGTTTATGCAGTGGGGCAATATGCGCCAAAGGTTCTTAAAAACCTGAATGCACAGAGACTGAAAAATCAGTTTAGCGATGTAGGATTAGTGGCAGGTGGCAGCATTATTCGAGCGCACAGATCTGTTCTTGCTGCTGGTAGTGCTTACTTCAATGCAATGTTCACTGGGGGATTGGTCGAGGAACAGCAGGAGTCTGTGGAAATTCGTTCAGTTTCAGCGGATATTTTATCAAGACTAGTTGATTTTATTTATACTGGTAATGTGGATATCACTCAAGACAATGTTCAGGAACTTTTTGCTGCCGCAGATATGCTCGAGTTGGATGAAGTTGTTGCAGGATGTATTGATTACTTGCAACAGCAATTGCACTACTCTAATGCCCTTGGAATTTATAGGTAATTATACTTAATACATAGGTCGCTTCAATGTACTAATTACTACATTTCTTATAGATTTGCAGAAGCGCACAATAGAGTGGATCTTTCAGAGACTGCCCTGCGCTTCATAGAAGTCAATTTCCCTCTAGTATCACGGGAAGAGGAATTTTTGGATTTACCAAAAGAACTTCTTGTTCGTCTTGTTGCTAGTGAATATATACACGTCGACACCGAATTTCAGGTAAGAAAACAAAATTTGAATAAGTAAAACCAGTCAACGTCATAATCCATTCAATAATTATTCCAGGTCTTCCAAGCAGCTTACGACTGGATAGTTCATGATATTCCATCGAGGCGATGCTACGTATTCGAAGTGTTGGGTCACGTGCGACTTCGTTTCTGTTCAGTATCTCGACTAGAGCGAGTAATCCTTGACTGTAAGGATGCCAGTCTAATAGTAGCCCTAAGATCCATTCAAAAGGATCTCGTATCGAACAAGGGATGCCTGGTGCCATTGCACTCACAGCCACGATTGTGCGCGAAGAAAAACATCCTAGTCATCGGAGGTTCAAAACGCGAACACTCTGCAGACAGTTGGGCCAGAGCTGCGGAGAGTACTTACGAATCCATCGAGAAGTACGATACCTTCACTGGGTGAGTATTCTCTTAAATGAAAACAAACTACAAAAGTATCCATAATTAGTTTCGCGAACTTCTCATAGCGAATGGAGCGAAGTTGCTCCCATAGGAATTGGCCGAGTACTCCCTGGCGTAGCTTTATTGGACGGTAAAGTCTACGTCGTAGGTGGTGAATTGGAATCCTGTATAATAGCAAATGGGGAGTGTTATGACCCACGTGAAAACGTATGGACTCCTATAGCCTGTATGGTAGAGCCACGTTGTGAATTTGGCCTATGCGCACTGGACGACAGTTTATACGCATTTGGTGGTTGGGTCGGCGAAGACATTGGTGGATCCATTGAAACGTATGACCCAATCACAAACTCTTGGACATTAGATGGCGAGTTACCTGAACCGCGATTCAGCATGGGCGTCGTTGCTTATGAAGGTATATAATATCACAACTGTATAACCTGTATAACATAACAGAGAGACAATGAACAACATTCTTTATGTGATCAGGTTTAATTTACGTGGTGGGTGGCTGCACGCATAACAGTAGACACAGACAGGATGTGATGAGCTACAATCCTGTAACCAGAGAATGGAGTTACTTAGCACCAATGCTGACGCCACGTTCGCAAATGGGAATAACGATTTTGGATGGATATATTTACGTAGTTGGCGGTATGAATAAAAATCAGGAGGTCTTGACCTCCGTGGAGAGGTATTCCTTTGATAAGGTAATACATTACCCCCAATAATAAGCTGAGCTTTCTTTTACCATTCGTTAATTAATGCCCATCAAATAATTTTAACTGTAAATCATAAATCTATTCGCAGAACAAATGGAGTAAAGTCGCTCCAATGAAAATGGGACGTTCTTATCCAGCAGTAGCTGCTGCCGACGGTCGCCTCTACGTAATAGGCGGCGATCAATCTCAGGAAATCAATTTTTATCGTACGCAGATAACAATATCTACGGTCGAGTGTTATGATCCAACGTTAAATAAGTGGCACGAGTGCGCCTCACTGCCTACGAGCAGAGGAGAAGCCGCTGCTATTATAACACCATTCTGATTTCGCGAGAGGTTCTGATCTTTCTTATGGACCCCTCATCATTCGTCGGCACAGAGAACTATCTATTTATTTTGTAAGCTTTGTATACCGGATGTGGTACGTGACCACATCCGATAACATAACGACCGTACGCCGATATAAACACTGCATTAGACGGCTTAACGATTAGGATAATAATTTATCAAGTGAGAACGATTATCGATATAATTGATGGATCTCAAGCGATTAATGCACTGTCCATTTTGGTCTTTTTTTTTCACTTTAATTTCCATTTTCGCGTACGGGCTGACCAAACGTCGAAACAAAGGAATTGCATTGTGCGCAGGCGTATTGTAAGTGAAAAATGTTTTTTCCGTTTTCGTACGCTTATCGGCAGACAAACAACTGAGTGTATTTCATAGAGGTTATATATCCTCATGGCATTTTTATACAGAAAAACAAATTTTCCCGAAAGTCCCAGAATCGATCGATACTGTGCGACTGCTTTGCAATCAGTTTAGCAATTAAGAATGAAAGAAGTCGAGCATAATAATCCAATACTCGAATACTTAAAGATTGTATCATAATGTTATTACAATTTATGTTATATTATTATTAACACAATTAACAAATTGCTATTAATATTATTAATTATTCTTATTACTACTCCCGACTAATGCTACGTACTCTAAGTCACAAATCCTGGACGTTATACACGATATACACTGTCGTACGTCGATGAAAAATAAATTTTCTGAAACTTCCGCGAAACGTGCCTCATGTTAGAATGAAACCTTCAATGAAACACTTTATTATCGAATGATATTTATTTTCATTGCATATTAATTGTTTGTAATTCTGACACCAGTATGATGGGGCTGATTAAGTTACAGGCTTATTGATGGCTATCAAGGCTGAACCAGACGAAAATAATTATATATATGACCACTTCAAATTAATTAGACTCTTTTGATGATGAGATATCACCTGACGATCAGTGGATCACTGAAGAGTATTCAGATTCGAATAAATAAAATTGTCGTTTTCTGGTGTCTCGAAGGTTGTCGAGATACATGAGATATTGATCACATGATATTAATTTATTGGACACTTCATATCCAAGGATGTTGTATGCAAATTATTTTCAATTTCCTGCTATAATAGCAGGTCTGTGATAGTATAATCAGAATCTTATAACACATAGGTACTAAGTATTATTAAACTATTTTATTGAAAAATGTGTGATGTGAGCTTTTACTACAGTTTCACATTGATTGACATACAGGGCGATTCTATAATGATAATTGTATACGGTTTTTGCGACGTTGCTTAATGTAAGTCTGAAATAAATAATGATTATGGCATGTTTAGTCTGCTTTAATTAGACACTCCAGATTTTAAGCTATCTTGGTCATGACGAATTGCTGATTATTATATTTTACATATATCTAAGAATGCACAAGGTTACTACAGAGAACTCTAATAATTTAATATATTACAGGACTATGCTATATAAAAGTATAGTAAAAAAATAAATAATATACAAATCTACATGACGAAGCGTAATTGTTGAATTATACTCTCTATCTAGATTCCCTACTGTGGTATCGTACTAAAATTATATTTAATAGCATGGTGGAAGAGATCTATGTAATTTGCCTGTTGACTAGAGTCAGTGAAAAAGTATTTTTTGTCATTGCTTTAAAGTTAATCACCAGATTTAAACATTAAGTAATCAGAATATCAGTATGACACTATCAACCACTTCTTCATTACGCTCTTGGATGTTAACAATTCTTTTCGTCAATTATGATTTACTTACACCTGGTGGTAATGTTATATCAAATACAATTGGTGGGTTACTTGGCAAGTAGTTCAAATCACATGTAGAGGCATTTATATATATGATTTTGCCATCTGAAGATATGCCATATCCTAAAACATGCATTCGAATTTTATGCAGTGTTTCATGTCTTTATGCTATCATATTTGTAATCAAATAATAAATACCTTCGTGTACGTGTCCGAATACATGGTACTTTGGTTTGACACGGTTTTGCACAGTGGATAATAATTCTACGCATCCAGCTCTTACACCATTGCAGCACAAATCACCGTGACCAACAGGAGGTGTATGGGTTACTAGAATATCTGTGTCGGAGGGGATCATTTCCCATTTAGAGAGACACGGTTCTCCACGTGGCACATTAAACGCCCATTTACAGAACTCTGGTTGCCTAAGGTATTTAAATGATCATTATGATCAATACTTTTGGGTTGGATAAACGTTTGAAATGAAGTGTATTTACCATGGTGTCCCATAAATCTTAATTCCATACAAAACAATTTCAGAATCTTCTAAATAGATACAATTTGTTAAGTAATCCTTCACGTTGGTAGTTTGAATTGCCTCGGCGAGTGTATCTTTGGACATTCCCAGTGTTGGTATATTATCTAAAATACTGGTCCCAGTATGTTTGTGCCGGTCTGAGCTTGGATTAGCTGAGAAAGGATGAGTAAATGTTGGATCGAAGCTCAATTCATGATTACCAGCAATCGCAATCTTATGTTTGTACGGAAGATTGCCTGTAAGAATTAACTCAATGAGATAGTTTTCTATCTTTTGCAGTAATATCTTATACAGTTTACCAAAATACGTACTCACCAATCCAATTATTAAATTCTACAACCTCATGCAGGCTACCACATTTAGTGAAGTCTCCAGCATGAATAAATATATCGCCAGCAGGTATATCAAATTTTATAAATGGTGTAAGGGAATGAGTATCACTCATGCAAACCACACGAAGCTGTGGTAGAAGATTGCATGATTAAAAAATCAAATATATTATACACAGTCCAAATAGGTGTTTAAGGAGTCGAAATTAATTAATGAAATTACCTTATCAATTGGTGCTTTAGTGGTGGGCGGCTTAGCATTGATTTTAATGACTTTTTGCTGCTGTGACAATTCGCGCCATGCAGCTGTAGGATTAGCTGTCAGCGGATGAATAGTGACATTCATTGTTAATAAAAAAACATGACAATCTCAAGTCTAAACGTGAGAAGAATTAGTGAACCAGACTAAATTAGAGTCAACTTTGTGGTAAAAAATTGGAGAAAATTCCTGTTCGGCTCCATGAAGCAATAGTAACGACATTTCGTCCACGGAGAAAACACAGCCGGCAAAACCAGCGCCATCAGAATGGAATTTTCAGACTATTAGAGAATGAAACACAATTCAACAATATTTTAAAGCAGAAATGTCCATGATTAGACTTTTGCTGGTATTTCTGACAAGGTGCAAAGTATAGCTGTATCATTTACCATCTCGATCAGGTGAAAAGATAAAAATAAAGAAACACACTAGATATCCTTCGTAGATATAGTCACTACTTATCTACTAATCAGGATCTTAACAAGCTGTTTTTCTACATGTATAAACACGAGAATTGTGAACATTGGACTGCGGTCCAAACGGTTCAGCCTAGCCAGACCCTCATATAGCTATAAGTAGTGGATCCACTTTGATCCACTCTTATCTAGAGTCTATATTCGATCTTATTTAAGTTTGGAGTCATATAGTAGCATTCTACAGTTTACGAGACTATAGACTAGTTTCTAACGTATATTATATTATACACGTCAGTTAACCTGGACTTTGATCTGAGATACACCTCATTCGGTTAAGTACAAGCAAGTCGTTTTCGACGTGCAGAAAGTTTACGAGTGTTGGCAGAAGCAGTGATCCGTATTTATTTTGTAAAAAATTAAGTTAAGGAACATTATATAAAATTAGGAATTTTAGTATCTTAGACTGTTCTGGTGCCTTATTTTGGAAGTGATTATAGAAGGCTAGGAAGAGATAAACATATATATTTATTTGAGGAACAATCAGTTTGCCACAATGCTGTTTAGTAAGGTGAGATAATTTATGCAACTACTTGTACTTTAGTGGAGTGCTTAAAAAGGTTTGTGGCCTCTTTCAAGACAAATTGATGTAAAGCCAAGGTATTTTTAAACAATGTTTCTTGCTTTGCACTATTTTAGGTAGCAAGCATAGTAACTCGTAGGACCTGTATCAGATCATTTAGTAGCAATGCAACAGCCTCAAATGGATACAATTTTGGTTAGTATATTTTTATGTTTATTTCTTGTTTTTGTTTTTATGACATGCTGGAAATAATTTGAAGAGCACAGTAATGGTTTTATAAAAAGTAGTTATCTTTGTGATAATTGTTAGTTACTCAACAGTTTATATTGTATTATTACAGAATTATCAGATACGCAGAAAGAGATGCAAGATTTGGCAAGAAAATTTACAAAGGAAGAGATAATACCTAATGCTGCCAAGTATGATAAATCTGGAGAATATCCATGGGATATACTTAAGAAAGCATGGAGTCTTGGTCTTATGAATAACCATATTCCACAAGATATCGGTAAGGATAACTTACTTATTTTTATATATTAAATATATATGGAACTCTAAAAATTTAAAGTTTTACTATTGATAATATTATTATTAATAATTATAGGAGGTTTGGAATGTAGTGTATTTGATGGCTGTTTGGTTGGAGAAGAACTTGCATATGGGTGTACAGGTATTGCAACAGCTATTGGAGGCACTAACCTTGGGGTAGGTATTTCAATTAATTTTTTTGAGGTATCTTAAGTACTGAAATTCAAAATGTACAAATATTTTTGTGTGCAGCAAACACCTGTTATCGTGGCTGGAAATAAAGAACAACAGAAAAAATACCTTGGAAGGCTCGTAGAGGAACCAATTGTTGCTGTAAGTTCTTCAAACGATATGAAAAATATCTAAGTAAATTACTTCATTTACTTTTTAATATTTATATTGAAAAAACAAATAGGCGTATTGCGTAACGGAACCAGGAGCTGGATCTGATGTAGCTTCAATTAAGACCAAAGCAGAAAAAAAAGGAAAAGAATGGATTCTCAATGGTACAAAAATGTGGATTACAAACGGCGGTGTAGCTAATTGGTACGTCTCAGTTTAGCCAAACATAAATTTTAATTACAAAAATAAGTATCATTAGAATCTCACACAGGTACTTTGTTCTGGCAAGAACAAACCCAGATCCAAATGCTCCAGCTAGCAAAGCCTTCACTGGATTTATTGTAGAACGTGCGTTTGAAGGTGTGACCCCAGGTCGTAAGGTAGAAACTTAACAAACACATTCTTTAATAGGTCAGTATAACAAAATATAAAAAATAAATTACCAAATTCTTTTAGGAAATAAATATGGGCCAAAGAGCTTCCGATACGCGTATGGTTACATTCGAAGACGTGCGAGTACCAGAAGAGAATGTATTAATTGGTGAAGGAGCTGGATTTAAAATCGCTATGGGAACCTTTGACAAAACTAGACCACCAGTGAGTCTTTGGATGAACGATTAATATATTAATTATATATAAGTACACTTGATAATCAACAAATTTTAATATTCCTAAAAGGTCGCTTGTAATGCGGTTGGGTTGGCTCAGAGAGCTTTGGATGAAGCCACCAAGTATTCTTTAGAACGAAAAACCTTTGGAAAACTAATTTCGGATCATCAAGCAGTAGCATTTAAGTTAGCCGACATGGCCATCGGTGTACATACAGCTAGACTAGCCTGGATGCATGCATCCTGGTCCAGCGATGCTGGTAAACCATGTTCTCAGACTGCAAGTGCTGCAAAGTGTTATGCATCCGATGTAGCCAACAAGTGTGCATCTGATGCTGTACAGGTAAGCATAACTATAAAAACAGTAATAAAAACTAGAAGAATATAACATACAATGATAATCCTAATCTTCCAGATATTCGGTGGTGCTGGATTCAACTCTGAATACCCTGTGGAGAAGCTAATGAGAGATGCCAAAATCTTCCAGATCTATGAAGGAACGTCTGAAATTCAGAAACTAGTTATATCTCGCACCCTATTGAATGAAGCCAAGCAAAAGAACAACTAAGATTGATAGATGTTAATTCAAATCAAAAGAAATAAATTTCAAGAAATATTTTTATAAGTGATTGTAAAAAGTTAATGTACTAATGAGAATTTTTAATGGAAATATTTTATGAGCAGCAATTGATATTTATTAGAAATAATCATACAGTTGAAAATACATATCCTGGCCTTTATTCTTGTCCTGCTTATTATGGATATTCATAACTGCAGCAATGCAGACGATATCACAAGGATCTGACGCAAAACGCCAAAATAGATGATTTAAAGCGCGCGGTATCAGAGCACCAGTTGGCGCCACAGTCGATCATTCGAAGGCGTTAGTCAAGTGCATTGTTCAATGAACACGGATTACATCGCATTATGTCCGTCCGCTCGTCGTTTTTACGCGGTTATATTTGGTGGAGTCGCGCGTGACGAATTATGCAACGTTCGGTGCAAAAACGCTCCATAACAGGGCGGCCAGATATTGTGACACCTGACCTACTTAGGGCCCGCGGTCGTTTCTAAAGCAGTGGCAGCTCGGTCAGGCCTGAAAACGCGGAACGCGCAAGATACTCGTTACGAACGTTTTCCTCGGTATCAGGGCCGTTGGCTGTGCGTGAAAATCCGTGAAAAAAAAGGGGAGCCACAACTGCCGCCGCGAGAATTACGTCTTTCCGTGACATTTCCTCGGGTGCCACAGTGCCGTGACTAGAGGGCCTCTTCGCCCTGCCACGGGATCACATTCACTCTGTTCCTCAGGTTTTATCCCCTCTCCGTGCTTATCCTCCACTTTGTCGTACTCCTAGACATCGTCTACAAGAGCCCGGGCGATCAGGAACACAAAGAAAATCCAAAAATCATAGCCTCGTCGAGTTTATGCAGTTTCCCGCTGATCCCCGGTAAAGCTTTACTCCTGACATTCTTTTTTAGGTTATACGTGTCAGCAGTCGCGATGTAATTAGCACAGTTTACGTTTTCCCTTTCGTTACGCACGGCCGTAGTCACACGTCGACAGACCAAGTGCCAACATTTTTACGAGTCATTAGTTTATAATTTGCGATCATTATTGCTAATCGAAAAATCGCATACTCTGATTTCTAAGTAATATTAAATTGTATAGCAAATAGCGCTCATAATTTTATATCTGTTTAGTCCCATTAATGGTACATAGAGAAAATGAAATATAACTCACGATATTCTCGCACCTTTGTCCTTTGATAAAAAAAATTTTGATTAATCATTTGATTCTTAATAAACATATTTCATGTTTTAACGATCGTATCAAATTCGTGGGAATTAAAAACGATTTGGTAGATGACATAAATTATACATTTATTTACAAATAACTGACATCTTTCACAGTTTGGTAACTACATTCATGTAGTATCAAAATGCAACTTCATTTTTCTTATTTTGAAAGCTGGTTTTACGATAATGATAGTCAATAATATGAAGAAACGTGTTTGGATCATTAAAGTTCCTTATATGAATTTTCCGATGGCTCTTGGTTGCCTACGCGAGTTGGTCACTTGAGAATTATATAATATTACATTACATAGCGATCAGCCGATTCTTTGGAAATAACAGCTAAATGTCAAATCGATATCAGTAACATCGGGAGTCAAGTCTCACAGTGTCTATGCAAGAACTGATGACTTTGCGAAATAACCAGTGACCATCGAAATATGTTTTGACCAGGTCGACAAAGACAATGATCTCCATCACCTGTCGATTCACAATAGCTAGGAAGACCCGGGGACAATAATGTTCCCCTTGTAAACCCAAGAGAACGAAAGTCAGGTAGCTGATAAAGTAATTTCTAACACAGGACAAAACCGTGCCGCTTATTAGCAATTGCAGAACTTTAATTACCATAATCGTCTTGGCAATTAACAACCCGCCTCGCGAAGTTCCTACAATATCGGTTTAAAGTGACTTCCAGATAGTAAGATAGACATTCATCTAGATATTTAAAAATTAACGGCAGGAATGAAAAAATGAATTAAAAAAGAACTTGGAAATAGTTTCGAAAATTCTCCTTAGTTACAAACATAATTGAAGATAGCAGTAAGGAAGGAATAATATAGTATTAAAAAAATGGCGTAATGTCGGTCAGTGGGATTATTGGTATTCTAGGAGCGAATGGGGTTATCAGCTGAGACAAATTAGCGAAATCCCTGGGATTCGCGGAGGAGCCACGCGAGTGAGTCGGAACGGATCGAGTTGAGTTTTCGCGTGCGAGTCAGGTTGCCCTGACCTAACCTAATCCGAGGAGGGCGACCAATCCTAATCGCGGGCCGCGGAGTCTGCTGGCCGGGACAGGCGCCCGCGCAAGCTACGGCCCTGGGTTGGCCTGTCAGAGCGCGACGGTGTGGCGGACGCTCGCTTGACTAGGGAGTGCCCGTCTCGATGCAAAGTGTAAGTGAAGTGGCCTACAGACCTACATTTATCTAACGTTCGATTTTTTTGCCGCTGGAAAGGGGCTAATAATCGCAGGGGTTGCGGCGGTGATGTCGCCGTGAGAGACAGATGTCCGGCTAGCGGTGGTTTCGACGGTGGGAGCAGCCCGTGGCGCTCGCTAGTAAGCGGCTTGTAGTGTAGGTGTTTCGCGAAGTGCGTTGGGGGACGTGCAGGAGGGACCCCTGTCTGGAATGCACGAGGGCCGAATGGCAGCACCGCTCGCCACCGAAGGAGGGGGTCCTCCATCTCTGGAGACGACGCCGACGACGCCGAACACAGGCAGCACGGGATCGACGTCGCTCACGGATTCGGGCATCCTCGCGGAGAGCAACGGGGCTCCGGTAAACGTCGGGCCCCCTCAGCCACACCATCACCAGGTACAGCAGCAGCCAGCACAGCCGACTCAGCCAACCCAGACAGCGTCGAGAGGGACCCTGGTTTTGGATCTGGCTACCAACGATGCCTCAGGTAACCTTACCTCTTTCTTTTTCTCTTGCCACGTCTCTTTCCTTCCATCAGTTATTCCCTTTTCTCACGTGTCCACCTATGCCTCTCGTTTATCTTTATCCTGCCCTCAGCATCCTCCTTCGACCCAGGGCCACGTCCATGTCTCGTGGCTCTTCAATCCTCGCGGCCTTTGTTGTCGCAGTGCGCCGCCTGCCAACCCGTTCCAACCGACCATACAGTTCACGTGAGTTCCATACCCAAGTCTCCTACCATGCTCCGTCCCTGACTCTTTGACAGGACCTAACCTCTCAGCATCTAGCGACAAACTTCCATGAAGTCCGACGCTTCGCCAGCAGCGAATTATCTTGTCGCAATGGACTCCAAGGGCGACAGCGAATTTCCCGATGAACACGTCGTGGCGATGCATGCTTTCAGAAGGATATCACCCTGAGACTCGTCGCTTTTTTTTTTTAACTCTACGACGTTCCTGGCGCTCGTACGGCTCCCGTAGTAGTCGCGTCGCGTCAGACCCTAGGACTCTATCGATATGCGACACAAAGTGTGAACGGAGCAGTAGGTTCACCACTGGATACCCGTGACCCGAGATCACGTTCCCACCTTTATTCTCATAGCCGTAACGAATCCCATGCGATTCAGGTTATACTCTAGTAGTCGTTATACCAGGATGACGTCAGGAGGATGCCCTGGTCGCGACTGCGCCTGGATCCCTCGTACTTTCCCGGACGCTTCGTATCCTGGGTTGCCTACCCGACAAGATAAATACTTTTTAAAATTTCATGCACGTGTAGATAAGCTTACTGCGAGTAGCAGGAAATACTTTCTTAAATATCTTAATTGATAATCAGCAATTACATTCGCTGCATAGAGTCAGGAACAAGTTGCTCGAAGACACGCACGACGTTACAGGTACACAGAAACGTGTTTCACCTGTACGCATATGGGTTCCTTTGTCCCTCCTGGTTTCCACGTACGATTTTGGATTCCCTTTGATTCCCTTCAGCCATCTAGGTCCTATAGGGCCAACCAGGCTATTACCTGTTCACCTCGACGTGACATCTGTCGTTGTATTACGTAACCTGGGCCCCTCCGATTCTCCTGAAAACAAATTGCTCCCCCGAAGCACCTGACTCGTTTGTCTAGTATGGGGTGGGTCAGGTCCAGCCGCGAACAGTTGGCCAGCCTGGATACCGTGTGAATCCTAACCGGTGTAATAGCGATCGATAACTAACTATATATATACACACACACAACACTGTAAGGAACCAAAAAAACAAAAATATCCAATATCCTAATACATCCTTTCTATCCATAAACTACTTTATTTATATTAACCTATCCTCGTAATTAACAGTGTTTGATAACGAGCTGTTACGGTAGCGCAGTTGCCGCTATTATCCGCTGATAAGCATACAGCAGGAAGTCTAAATATTTTTTTTTTTTAATATTATTTATCTGTGACACACGACATACCGTATCTGCATTTTCTGCAAAGTGCAATGTAAATTCGTTGAACGTATGTCTATATATATATAGTGTATATATATATATATATATATATACACACACACTCACATTTATATTTGGGCTTAATATCCATGACATTATCGTTGAAAGAGAAATCATATCGTAACACGTTCATGGCTGTCATTACGAGTCTCTTCCTTAATATAACAAGCGAGAGTGAGCAAGTAACAGCCTATTAAGTTTCTCGCACTCGCCAGTCCGCACTCTGTATTCTGCACAGATATATATATATATATACACTTAGTCAGTCACTTCTCTTTGGCCATTCTATCTCTTTCTCTTTCACTCTCAGACACTCTCCCACTGACTCGTTTACTCTCCCTCTCAGTGGCTTCCAGCCGTGTCCGACTAGCCTGCGTTAGGTTAAAGCCGAGTAGTGGCGTTTTGAATAAATTTTTCAGCAAAACCATTGTCGATCGACTTCAAATAGTTCCGAAGTAAGACGAAAGTTCTGGCATTTTGTCCTATTACCACGGTCGCACTATGTTAGGGCGAATTGGGACTGGGAACGGTGGAGAGAAGAGAAGAGGAAGAGGGTATGTTTTGGGTAAGCGTGGCGACGCGTGCCGAAGTAAAATTTGTCAGTTTTGTAAAAAAAGAAAAGGGCAGCACGAGGTCCCCCCGAATACAAGAGAATAAACGAAGGGCCAGGGTGAATCGAGCACCGGGTCTATTGACAATGGCACCCCTGGCACAATCCGACAACATCTACCTGCTGCGTTAACTGCACTTGTTGCGCCGAGATTTACTCAACGACCTCATAAATCATTATTATCCAGTCCGTCTTACCGATGGGACTCTCGGCTCGTTGGCCCCTTGTAGAAAAATAGTGGAGAACGACGCGCGCTGTTGGGCCCTTTATTCGGGAGTTCGGCCCTGGTCCCGTCCACCGCGTCCACGACACCCGGCCCACGCGTAAAACTGGCCCACCGTGCGCAGGTACAGACAGGCAAACGCGCCGACGGAGCTCACGCTTTCACCGGATACGTCCAACGAAGGTGGCTTATCCGATGTTCTGGACTGGGCCCAAAGGGAGAGGAGCCATTTTTCGTGCTTCGAAATCATTCGCGATACTATCGGACTGCGACCGTTCTCCGGAGAGTCTAAAGGTTTCAGTTTTTGGTCTACTTGCGGGAATTCCATCGGAAGACGCCAATTAGGACCCCCGTCCGTTTGGCTCAAACTTCTTATAAATTTTTGCGCCTCGGTAGACGCATCTGAATACGTACGTACGGTATATAGATGTATACGCAGTGTGTCCTCAACGATATACGTCACGCGACAGGACACAGGAAATGTAACTTTTATAATTTACCAGGCTCGTAAATACCTCCGACGCCTTATACTGCAGTGTTAATTCAAATACGGTACTCATTTTCGTCGCGCTTTCCCTTTTCTTTTTGACGTTTAGCGATTTCGGAAGCGGACCCACAGAAGAATGGAGGAGCCACGCGACCGTCTTCGTTGCTTGCTCTTTCTCAGCACCTTCTCTCTCTCTCCCACTCGGGCTATGCACTTCTGAAATTGACCAGCGCGGCTCATTTATTACCCTGCCTCCTGGTGCCGACAGGCCGAACCTTGTCTCGTTCTCTCAGCTCCATTGTGCAACACTTGACATTGTTGTCCCAACTCTCACCAGGGGACGAGGTTCGTTTCCCATTTCAATATTTACGAGCGACCCCCCCGGTCCACCTCTTCGAGTGAGACGTACCGAGCGCAATGAGAGCGTCGGACACCGAGAGCCAAGTGGCGGCACCTGAAGTCGCGCGCGAATTTCGTATACGAAATTCCGAGTCTTCCAGCCATCGATATCTTAGACCGTTATTGATACCAGAGCGATAGTCCACTTGTATATCCACCCTGCATTACGTGCATGCTAGGTATATCTACTTGTACTCTTGTACGTGTATCCACATATATATATATACAAAATACTCCCACGCGCACCTCGGGCCCCGTCTCTCCTCACCCGCTATTGAATCGCCTGACCCACTTCGATAAACTTGCATCGGAATAGCTCAATAACACATGCGATTTAACAATAATTATTATTCACGCTTCAAGCCGAGCAGACTATCGGCACCTCGATTTATTATCGTAAACACAATAAGGGACCTGTTGTGCCCACGTGGTCTCGCCTCGTTGACTCGTCTTGTACCCATTTGCCATCATGGCGAGCCTGTGGATGCGTCTCAGTTGCTCCGAATAGCATTCACTAGGTAAAACCCTATGAACGCTTCCTGTATATATATTTCAATATATATATGATAAGACTATATATATATAATAAGACTCATACATCCCACGAAAATCCATTAGAGTATTGGCCAACCTAGCGAAATCGTCACGACACGTCGTCCCACGTCCGGACTTGTAAAATCATGTCGACAAAGGACAGACAAGAGTCTTAATAGAGAAAGGAGAGAGAGAGAGAGAGAGAGAGAGCAGATTAAGGCTGAGCAAAGGTAAATACAGGCGATGGTTTATAGGTTACAGGGAGAGCGCGAGGGTACCAAAAGGTACGGAAAATCCCGTCGGGTAGCCCAGAGGTTTATTCGTGGTCGTTGCCGAAATTTCGTTCCCTCGTATTTCGTGCCAGTTATGATGAATTCGATTGAGTAACACCCCGATGGCATGAAGTAACACGGGACACGGTCTGTGGTTTTTAATACGCGTCCTACTTTCCGCTATCTTGTGTATAGCGAGCGAGCGTGGGTCTCTCCCCGTACGCGAAGTCAAGTCGAGTGAAGAAGCGTGACGTGATTGGCGCGCGTCGTTCTCCCCACTCTTGTTATTTCCGCGAGTCCATCCCCCCCTCTCTCCCTTCTCCTCCTTCCCCGCCTCCATCCCTTCCGTCCCTTCGTTCGCGTCCACGGCGTCCCTACCTAGTAAAACCCGACGGCATCCATTTTCGCCCTCCCCTCTCCTCCCCCCTCGTTTCCCCACCCTTCACCTCATCATCGCCGACGGAGCCGAGATAACGACGCCGAGTTGCACGGCTAGAAGGACTGAAATTGAAAGTGGTTGTCCCACTGACCCACTGACCTGATTACCCACTGACAATGACACGAATCCTTGCCCGCCGCCCGCGTCTGAGCCGCCCCCCCCCCCCCC